ACCAGCTGAAACGGCCAGCTGATGACACTTCACTGCTGTACCCGTACTCCATGTCAATGAGTGCAGACATAAAAACATGTGTGGACCTTTTGGTTTACTTTTGTGTTTACAATGTCGATAAACATCATGTGTTGGCTAATTTCGGGTGTTATTGGTATTTGAAGCACAGGAATATTTCATTTGAAACCTCCGGCTGACGCTGGCCAACATATGATGTTTATCTCCTAAATAGAGATTAATAACAGGAAATAATATCTTTATTTGTAAAATGTCGGGAAAAGATTACACAAAAGAAATGGAGCAAGCTGTGGAAATTGAGGGTAGAGTGGGAGGTTGAGGAGAGTACAGTTACTCCCAGGTGTTCAACAGGGAGGAAGAGGAGAAGATGGTTCAGGAGGTGGAGAGTACAGTTACTCCCAGGTGTTCAACAGGGAGGAAGAGGAGAAGATGGTTCAGGAGGTAGAGAGTACAGTTACTCCCAGGTGTTCAACAGGGAGGAAGAAGAAAAGATGGTTCAGGAGGTAGAGAGTACAGTAACTCCCAGGTGTTGGTCAGGGAGGAAGAAGAGAGGATGGTTCAGGAGGTGGAGAGTACAGTTACTCCCAGGTGTTCAACAGGGAGGAAGAAGAGAAGATGGTTCAGGAGGTGGAGAGTACAGTTACTCCCAGGTGTTCAACAGGGAGGAAGAGGAGAAGATGGTTCAGGAGGTGGAGAGTACAGTTACTCCCAGGTGTTCAACAGGGAGGAAGAGGAGAAGATGGTTCAGGAGGTAGAGAGTACAGTAACTCCCAGGTGTTCAACACAGGAGAAGATGGTTCAGGAAGAGATGATGTGTTCAGGAGGAAGAGAGAGTTCACAGAGGTACAGTTAACTCCCAGGTGTTCAACACAGGGAGAAAGATGGTTCAGGAGGTGGAGAGACAGTTAATGTGTTCAACAGGGAGGTGGAGATGGTTCAGGAGGTCGAGACAGTTAATCCCAGGTGTTCAACAGGAGGAAGAGGAGAGATGGTTCAGGAGGTGAGAGATGGTTCAGGAGGTAGAGAGTACAGTTATAGGTGTTCCACAGTAGAAGATGGTTCCAGGAGGAGGGAGGATGGTTCAGGAAGAGAGGATGGTTCAGGAGGTGGAGAGTACAGTTAATCCCAGGTGTTCAACAGGGAGGAAGAGGAGAAGATGGTTCAGGAGGTGGAGAGTACAGTTAATCCCAGGTGTTCAACAGGGAGGAAGAGGAGAAGATGGTTCAGGAGGTGGAGAGTACAGTAACTCCCAGGTGTTCAACAGGGAGGAGGAAGAGAGAGAAGATGGTTCAGGAGGTGGAGAGTACAGTTAACTCCCAGGTGTTCAACAGGGAGGAAGAAGAGAAGATGGTTCAGGAGGTGGAGAGTACAGTAACTCCCAGGTGTTCAACAGGGAGGAAGAAGAGAAGATGGTTCAGGAGGTGGAGAGTACAGTTACTCCCAGGTGTTCAACAGGGAGGAAGAGGAGAAGATGGTTCAGGAGGTGGAGAGTACAGTAACTCCCAGGTGTTCAACAGGGAGGAAGAAGAGAAGATGGTTCAGGAGGTGGAGAGTACATGTGATGTCAGAGAGAGTACACTAACTCCAAGGACGGAGTGGTACAGGTCAGCAAAGAGGAGTAGAAAACGGAAGCTCATAAAGATCAATGTGTCTGAAGCAATCAAGAAGAAGAAAAACAATGTAGTAACACAAGGTTTACTTGATAATGTGTAAGATGTTTTAAACACTGGAAGTCTCACCTGTGGTCACCTGGTGACCCCGCACTGCATCTATGATGGCCTGCGGAATACTGCACGCACCTGTCAGAAACATAATGGTTACAGATCAGAAACAATTTTTCTCTGTGAAAACAACTCCTTATACCTTTCTTCTAAACTTAATGTGATCAGAGCATTTATTGTTTTGCTAAAGTATTTTGTTAAAGCTTTGCAGTACATAAATGGTTTGATGAGCATAAATCTAGTGATCAGAGTTGCTTTCTTTCTCTATGATAGGATCAGCCAGTAAATATGATATTAACCGGTATAATGTTCATTGGTCTGTTAAAACCTTGCACATGTATTTCACGACAGTCATCAGTTAAAGCAGGATTAGAAATAAAAACATTGTTCTAAACTATGCGAAGTCTTGTCCATCCACCCAGTCCCTCACCTGATCACTCACTCACTCACTCTCACCCACGAAGATCCAAGTTAGAATTGATCTTCAGTAACCCATGCTTGTCATAAGAGGCTCGCTGACTTGGTTGACACATGTCATCATACCACAGTTGCGTAGATCAATCCTCATGCTGTTGATCACTGGATTGTCTGGTTCAGACTCGAAATTTACAAACCGCCGCCAAATAGTTGGAATATTTCAGAGTGCAGTGTTAAACGCCAACCAACCAACCACTCTGCTCTCACTAAACATGTGTACACAGTTACCTGGATCAGTCTGTGCCATGGCGCTCACATCAGCACACACGTTGTTGACATAGCTCATGAGTGTCTGGAGACGCTGGTCATCCACAGCGGTGTGGACAGACAAGATCTCAACCAGTCTAGAGTCACTGGGGCAGCTTTCACCCATCGTGGCGTCGAAACACGAGTACGTCACAGCATACTCATCATCCGCGTACATAATTCTGTACATTCCTGGAACATTCCACGTCATGTCACAGGTATTTAAATAATTGTTTTAATCAGTGTTTTGGTTCTACAATGGCATGATAGTGATTAGAGCTGGTTATAGCTAAATAAAGAAGTTTGATTTGATGTTTATTTTTTTATGAATATTTATTAAGTCTCCCGAGCTCATCGATAACCATTGACGCAAGGTAAATTGATCGACTGATGGATAAATTGCTCCAGCACTAATTGTGATAAGGAATCCGGGTCCTGATCCGCAAAGCACTCATAACGTTACGACCTGTTGTAACTCAATAGTTTATCATAGCCTTACGAATGTCATAGTGCTACAAATACTGTGTGGATCGGGACCAAAAGCACTTACATTGTGTGCCTTTTTCTACCATCAGACTATATATAAACCGTGGACATGTTTTTTGGTTGTTGTTGGGTTTTTTATTCCAGCATAATAGGTACATTCATATGGGTATAAGCAGTTGAGCAAAGATTCATGTGATGTACAATGAAAGCACAGGGAAGTAACTCTATGGTTGTACCATTTTTTATTAAGTTATAAAGTTCAAGGCACAAAAATAAGTAGCTGTGGCAGTGTGCCAATGCTATATAAAGTCATAAAGTCTATTTTGTCTTATTGGAGTTGTACCAGCAAGTTCAATACTGGCACAATGTTTGCAAGAGAAAGTAAAATTTATGTCAGTATGCAAATAATACATGAAGTCAGATGTTTGCAATGTAATTTATAATTTATAAAGCCCAAGAAAGGCACAGTGTTTACAAGAGAATTCATAGGCCAATAGTATATAAAGTAACCGTGGACATGTTGACGAAGAAGATTGTTAATAACATGTGTACAACTTTGCATGATGAAATATTGAGAATCATTTCAATAAACAGTTTGTCATGATTTGTATGATTGTCATGAAATATTATAAGTTGTTCACTGGTCTCGAGGGGGACATGGGCTGATGTACCCTCCATGTTTGTTTATGTTCCCTGAGCCCGAAGGGCGAGGGGAACATAAAGAAATATCGAGGGGCCCTGAGGGACCAGTGAACAATGTATTTATCTTACCGAACACCTCAATGGTAATTTTGAACTGTTTGAAGCACGGGTATCGGATCGTAGTATGGAGTACCAGACGACAAGAAAAACAAATTTAGAGTTATCTCCCTTCCATCGATTTGCATTTGCAAAACATCGGTAATTTCCATTCATCATACGTGATTCAATGTTATTTGAGATAAAGAATTACTACTATGAAGTACCAAATGAGTTTGGCGGGGTACATAGAAAATGTTACTCGCTTGTAAGCGGGGTACATTGAAAATAATAGAACAGCACTCAGTCAATCAGAAAACAACATTTATGTGTGAGGTAAGATAAATGATGATATTACATCCTGTACATATGCTGTATAGCCAAACTGATTGACTGACTGAGTTTGGTTTTAGCCGCTTTTAGCAATATTCCAGCAACATCATCGGGCTGGGGGACACCAGAAATGGGCTTCACACATTGTGCCCATGTGGGGATTCGAACCCGGTCTTTGGCGCTTGTGACGAGCCAACGCTTTAACCATTAGGCTACCCCACAATCCCCTGTATAGCCAAAGAAACTGTATGGTTATATTTCAACAAAATATGCGAGTGAGTGACTTTAGTTTTTCGCGCTTTTAGCAATATTCCAGCAATTTCAGTGGGGACACCAGAAATGGGCTTCACACATTGTACCCATGTGGAGAATTGAACCCAGGTCTTCGGCATCAGGAACAAACGCTTTACCACTAGGCTACCCCACCACCCTCAACAAAATACAAAACAAGTGAAATATTAATAAACTGTATGCAGTGAGTATTGAAATGTTAGATAACAGCAACATGTACTTGTAGCTGTAACACAGACCTAGATCCACGGATAATGTTATTACAATATATTAATACAAAACTGAAATGTCTTCGACTTTGGCTCATTTCACAATGTGATCACCTCATTCTGCTTCCAAATTCAGCGGGCGGTGGGGTAGCCTAATGGTTAAAGCATTGGTTCTCGTCACCAAGACCTGGGTTCAAATCCCACATGGGCACAATGTGTGAAGCCCATTTCTGGTGTCCCCCACCTATATTGCTGGAATATTGCTAAAAGCGGCGTAAAACCAAACTCAGTCAGTCAGTCCAAATTCTGCAGGGGCAGTTGGGTGACAAAATGGGGAAAGTGTTTGCCTGTTATGGTGTCCACGCCGAAGGGCTTGGTTCCCCACATGGACACAATCAGCACCTCTGGTGTCCCCACCATGATATAGCTGGAAACATTCTAAAAGTGGCGTAAAACTCACTCCAGTGATTACACATCTGTGTTACTCACCATGGAGACTGCTGCTGTCGCCAAAGCCGATGGTGTAGTCTCCTGGCTGCTCAAACTCAGTCAGCTTCAGAACCTCCACAGGCTCACAGGAACCCCATGAGGACCTGCATGAGAACAACATTGTCAGGAAGAAACAACAAGAACATACTGGGATGTACATCACATCAGGAACGAACATCAGAAACAACAAATTACACAAACTCACAGAAATCCCAGGAAGACCTGCATGAGAACAACATCGTCAGGAAGAAACAACAAGAACATACAGGGATGTACATCACATCAGGAACGTACATCAGAAACAACAAATTCCACAAACTCACAGGAATCCCATGAGGACCTGCATCAAAACAACATTGTCAGGAAGAAACAACAAGAACATACAGGGATGTACATCACATCAGGAACGTACATCAGAAACAACAAATTCCACAAACTCACAGAAATCCCAGGAAGACCTGCATCAAAACAACATTGTCAGGAAGGAACACCATTAGAGACAACAACCATCAACATCAAAGAAACAAACGTCACAAGGAATCAAAAACAACAAACATAACAGAAACAAACATCACTAGTAATAAACACAGGAACAAAATCAAGCATCACCAGGAAGAAACAGGAAGAAACATCACAGGAACAAAAATGAACATTCATCACAGGAATACACAAGAACATTCATCACAGGAACAATAACAAACAAGCACCACACAGAGCAAACATCATCAGCTGCCAGCATCATCTCGTCTCCACACATACAGCTGTAGCATCATCTCGTCTCCAGACATACAGCTGTAGCACCATTAACTTACTTGTAGCTCCGTGACAGGAGAAAATGTCATCACTCTCATCCCTCAACTGGTGCCAATACAATTTCCTTCGAACTCGAACCAGCTCAGTAATGTTGTTGCCCCACATGGATGACGACCACAGGGTGAACCATTTTGTGTCAGCAAACTGTATAACACAGAGGCACATGGGGGTCAGTCAGGGAGATGGGAATCAGATGGGGGTCAGATTGAGGAGATGGGGTCAGATTGAGAGATGGGGTCAGATTGAGGAGATGAGAGTCGGGAGATGGAAGACAGACAGGGTAGATGGCGTCACATTGAGGAGATGAGAGTCAGGGAGATGGAAGACAGACAGGGTAGATGGCGTCACATTGATGAGATGCGAGTCAGACTGAGGAGATGGGGTTAAAGAGAGGTACTTTGATCAGAAGAAATCAGACAGAGGGATCAGACAGGACGTGGGAGCAGATGGAGGAGGTTGGGCCATTATGGAGGAGTGTAAAAGGTCTGGACATTTTCACCATACACATTTACTGGTGGTTTTTGAAGCAATCTCTTGACTACACACATTTACTGGTGTATACGAAGGTACATTGCTACTGCAGATATATACTGCTGTATAGGAGGTCTGAATAACTCAGTCAAGGGATACCTTGTGTATGTCCAGATCAGCCTGAACTGGTATGAAGTCTGAGTGACAGCCAATAACAGAGTGATCTGAAAACAACATGAACAGGTGAATGTGTGGCGTTGAAATCTGGCAATACATATACACACACAGGTGAATGTGTGGCGTTGAAATCTGGCAATACATATACACACAGAGAAATATTTCCCGCATTTACGCAAAGAAAACATTTGACTAGAAATGTCATAAATCATAGATAGATTTTAGCATAAATTCGACCGCTTCTGTGGTGTATTTGACTCGAGAGCGGAAGGTCACGGGTTCGATAACCCGACCGTCATCATACCAAAAGACGTTAAAATATGGTACTTGTTGGTCCCTGCCTGGCGCTCGGCATTAATGGGTACAACAAGGACTGGTCGGCTCGGAGTCAGTATAATGTGTCTGAGTGGGGTATTCATGCTTCACCGCCGCATGGTATCTCAGTGGGCTAGCACTATAAAACCAGCATCAGTCTGGGCTAGTACAAGCAGCCGCGCATTACACATACACACGCATGCACGCCGCCATATGAGCCAAATATTCTCAAGCACCATCGCTAAACCAAAAATCACCTCACCTAGCATAACTTCATTAAGGAATATTTGATCTGTCTCTTGTTGTCACAGCAACAACTGATGCCAGATTCTGAAGACATTTAAAGCAAAACAATGCAGACAAATGTGGCTTTCTTTGCTGCTCACACTTGGTGCCCGAGGAACACTCTTACCATCTGTGATCAGGTCGTCCTTGCTGCCTCCACAATGGCTGCCTCCACACAATGGCAGATGGCATCAAAGGAAGACATTCCACTGTAACAGAAGGAGAAACAATGAATTAAGAACCAAAGGTAAATTTTTATCAAAAGGAAGACGAATTGCAAAGGCCTTATATAATTGTGCTATTCTATCAAGATGCCCAGTTATATAATATATACATTGAAAAGAAGATAAAAAGCAAAAGAAGATATATAGGTCAGATGCAAAATATGTAACAAAAATAAAGCAAGCGAAAAATCAGTAAGATCATTCACAATAATATGAGCGGAGAGAAAAGATGGCTCATGGTTTCCACCGCTTAGCAAATATTCCAGCATGTCATCAACCTTTATTTTTGTAGGACACCAGAAATGGGCTTAAAACTTCAAATGATATTGATAAAACCCATATAGGGGAATCTGAACCGGATACTAATAAAATATGAAATCATGCCTGAAATAAATGGCATATAAAAATTAGAGAAATTTCCGAGGCAAGATGTTGGTATAATATTCTGACTGAAATTAACAATGCAACAAAGAGAATAATGTGCAGGATGAATGGAAATGGAAATTGATAAAAGACATACAATTACAGTATAAAAATATTACATTCAATTATTCCATGTAATAAATATTTGGAAAAATAAACATAAAAGAAAGTAATGTTTGTGAAACATGTGGTCATATAGATACTGTTAGACATTATGTGTTTTATTGTCCAAATATTTTGCGTTTTTGGTTCGACATTTTCAAATGGATAAAAAATAATGTAAGTAATACAGTATACGATAGTTATAGAAATATTGCACGCTATGGCCCCAAAGACTGAGTTTAAAGATAGTGAAGTTAAATTTTGTAATTTTATTATTCAAGTTTATAGTATGCCGATATAGGGTAACAAAACAAGGTGTAATTTTAGAATGTTTGAAAGTGAGTTGAAAAATACAATATAAAAAAATATTAAGAAAACAAAATTCAAAAATACATGTCATTAACACAGGCTTTGTATTTTGAAATATATGATTCATGACACATCTGCCCTGGTAAGCTCTCCAATGGCTTCAAACAGGAGTATTGAAAATCGTGGAATTTTAAAATGGTAATAAAGATGCAGAAAAAAGGAGAGTCATGTCAGGTTACTTGCAGAATAACAGAAGGAAAACTCTCAACTTTAACCTAAAAACAGTTGAATAAACATTACACCTACAAATCATCGTCTACCATCCTAATGAGTGTCAGAAAAGGTCCCCAGTACCCAATGACTTGTGTACAGCCACTGAAGAGAATTTGGACTACAATCAGTTACAATGTATGACGTTACAATGTATGACTTTGTTACATTGATATGGCTTTGTCACTTTGCTTGGTCTACATGACTTGTTACAATACGTGATGTGACTTGTTACAATGTATGACATGTTACAATGTGTGACTTGTTACAATGTATGACATGTTACAATGTGTGACTTGTTACAATGTATGACATGTTACAATGCATGACATGTTACAATGTGTGACTTGTTACAATGTATGACATGTTACAATGTGACTTGTTACAATGTATGACATGTTACAATGCATGACTTGTTACAATGTATGACATGTTGCAATGTGTGACTTGTTACAATATATGCTACAATGACTTGACAAATATATGACATTACAATGCATGACTTGTTACAATGTATGACATGTTGCAATGACATGTTGCAATGTGTGACTTGTTACAATGTATGACATGTTACAATGCATGACTTGTTACAATGTATGACTTGTTACAATGTGTGACCAATTACAATATAGGACTTGTTATAATGTATGAAGTGTAACAATGTAGGACTTGTTACAATGTGTGACTGATTACAAAGTGCAATTTGTTACAATGTGGGACTTATTACAATGTGCGATTTTGTTACAATATACGATTTCTTACAATATATGATTTTGTTACAAAATATGATTTGTTACAATGTATGGCATGTAACAATGTATTACTTTGTTACATTGTATAGCTTAGTTATGAGTTAGTGAGTTGATTCATTTACAAAGATATTATAGGTTTTGGGGGTAACTAGGCCCATTTACACCTTGCCCATAACAAGATTTGCTAATGACATAGCATTATTATTAAGCAGAAAATATATGTTTATTACTTTGCCTAACTTTGTTGCAATGCCTGACGTTTTTCCAACGTATGATATTGTTTCAGAGTTTAAACCTTATTTAATCAAAATAGTTTATGCACAATATCATCAATGCCACAATTTTCATATTGACAATTATAGTTAATTCTTCATCAACAATATTCCTGATTATCAATCCTTTTAGCTAGCACTTGTTACAAAACATCTTATGTTTTATCATGACACTTTACAACAATCCATGCCAGTGTTACCATGCAAGACCTTATTACAATGTAATACTTTGACGCACTGTATGACTTTGGTATAAACTGAACATTTGTGTTGAGAATAATTATTAATTATACATATACCAAATTTCACAACATTTTGAAAAAAAAATTCAGAATATGTTTTCAATATGGCTGTTGAGGCAACCAACAGGCAACAAACTTAGAAATGAAATCGTTATAAACACTGCTATTGTAAAACAACTTCAGGTGTTGTAGGGAACCAGCGTTTAGCTTCACTGGTCTGGTGGTTTCCAATGGGAAAATCTTTAACAACATGAAATGATGCTGCAAAGTGATGCCTTTTATTTAAAATCGTCTTTTAGTGGCACATTTAGAAGTTGCTGAATCAGATAAGGACAAACTTGATGGATGAACAACTTCTTTATTTAGGTGATGTAACATTTCAATACAGATTCTTGTCTCATTGTCAGAAAGAATCTGTATCGAAACGTCACATCACCTGAATGAGTTGTTGTTCATCTATAAAGTTTGTCCTATCTATTTGAAAATCAGAAAGTTTAAAACCTTCTTGTATATTTACACACATATAAACAAAGAAAAACATTTCTACTCTCCACACGAAAAACACATCTGCTGTAAGACTTGTGATTAATTTCACGCAATAACTTATCACGAAGACCAATATGTCAATGAAACCTTAAGGGAGGTCGGTATTAGACTTAAAGGACATTTTGTTCTGATATACCCCTGTAGGGAGAAGTGGGAGGCCTGCACTTCACTCTCAGACATCAGTCAAGTTGGGGATGAGATAGATGGGTCTAGTCTTGAATCATCATCCATTGATGGCTGTTTGATATAGGAAAGCCTCCAAGGAAATGTGACATTCCTTACACATGTTCTCTGCTCTTTGCTGGGTGTGAGAATGAGAGAGTGAGTGTGAGAGACTAATGAGAGAGTTAGAGGGTTGATGAATGAATGAGAGAGTGGGTGGGTGGATGAATGAATGAGAGAGTGAGTGTGAGAGACTAATGAGAGAGTGAGTGGGTGGATGAATGAATGAGAGAGTGGGTGGGTGGATGAATGAATGAGAGAGTGAGTGTGTGGATGAGTGGATGAGAGAATGAGAGGGTGGACGGAAGAATGAGAGAGTGAGTGAGGGGTGGATGAATGAATGAGAGAGAGGGTGGAGAGACTGAGTGAGGTGGATGAGTGGATGGATGAATGAATGAGAGAGAAGGTGGGTGAATGAATGAGAGAGAGAGTGAGAGTGAACGAACGAATGAGTGGGTGGATGAGATGAATGAGAGAATGAGGGTGAGTGGACGAACGAACGAGTGGGTGACGGTGGACGAACGAACGAGAGAAGTGGAACGAATGAGAGTGGTGGATGAATGAACGAATGAGAGGATGGGTGGACGAGTGGAGTGAGGACGAATGAAGACGAACGAGAGTGGACGAACGAGTGGACGAACGAACGGAGGAGGAGAGAGTGAGTGGACGAACGAACGACGAACGAGTGAATGAATGACGAGTGAGTGACGGACGAACGAGTGGAGGTGGACGAACGAACGAACGAGAGGGTGAATGAACGAACGAATGAGGACGAAGGTGGACGAACGAACGAGTGGACGAACGAAGGAACGAACGAACGAGAGTGAGTGGACGAACGAACGAGTGGATGAACGAACGAGAGTGAGGAGATGAACGAACGGGTGAACGAGTGGGTGAACGAACGGAGAGTGGACGGTGGACGAACGAATGGAACGGTGGAACGAACGAGTGGAATGGACGAACGGAATGAGTGGAGTGGACGAACGAGAAGTGAGAGTGGATGAATGAGTGGATGAATGAATGAGAGGAGGATGAGTGAATGAGAGAGTGGAGAGTGGGGTGGATGAATGGAATGAGAGAGTGGTGGGAATGGAATGAGAGTGAGTGGAGGGTGAACGAGACAAACGAATGGAGGAATGAATGAGAGTGGGTGGATGAATGACGATGGTGGACGAATGGAGTGGAGGTGGACGAATGAGAGAGTGGTGGAACGAGTGAGTGGAATGAATGAGAGTGGATGGAATGAATGAATGAGAGTGGATGAATGAATGAGAGAAAGGAGGAATGAGATGAATGAGAATGGAGTGGATGGAGTGGATGAATGAATGAGAGTGGGTGGATGGAATGAATGAATGAGTGGGTGGAGTGGAGAGATGAATGAGTGGAATGGAGTGGTGGATGAATGAATGAGGAATGGGTGGATGAATGAATGAGAGAGTGGAGAGTGGATGGAACGAATGGAATGGAAGAGTGGATGAATGAGTGGATGGAATGAATGAGAGTGAATGAGAGGAATGAGAGTGAGTGGATGGATGAATGGAATGAGTGGAGTGGATGGATGGAATGGAATGATGAGTGGATGAGATGGAATGAGTGGTGGATGGAATGAATGAGAGTGGAGTGGAATGAATGGAGTGGATGGATGAATGAATGAGAGAGGAGAGTGGATGGATGGGTGGATGAATGAGAGTGGAGAGATGAATGAGGAGTGAGGGGTGGATGAATGAATGAGAGAGGGTGGTGGATGGAATGGATGAATGGATGAGAGATGAATGAGAGTGGAGTGGATGAATGAATGGAGGGAGGGATGGAATGGAATGGAGAATGGATGAGAGTGGAGGAAGAATGAATGAGTGGGTGGTGGATGAATGAATGAGAGGGTGGGTGGATGGAATGAATGAGAGAGTGGATGGAATGAATGAGTGGATGAATGGAATGAGTGAGTGAGAGTGGGAGAGTGGATGAATGAATGAGAGAGTGAGTGGATGGAATGGATGAGAGAATGATGAGAGTGAGTGGAATGAGAGAGAGTGGATGGAATGGAATGAGAGAGGGAGATGAGTGATGAAAGGATGGATGAATGAGAGAGGGTGGATGAATGAATGAGAGTGGAGAGAATGGAATGGATGAGTGGATGAATGAATGAGAGAGTGGTGGAGTGGGTGGATGAAAGAGATGAGAGTGGTGGATGGAATGGAATGAGAGAGTGGTGGTGGTGGAATGAATGAGAGAGTGAGTGGGTGGATGAATGGATGAATGAATGAGAGGGTGAGTGGGTGAATGATTGGGTGAAAGAGAGAGTGAGTGGGTGGATAACTTGATGGGGTTGACCTAATAGAGAGTGAGTGAGTGGCTATAGGTGTAGTTGCTTGTTTGTTGTTCAACACAACTTCCAAATACCACTTGGATGTCAGATTTACAGAAATATACCAAAACTTGGACCACCTTCACATTCTAACCTGGAATCCCAACAAGGTACAATATATGCAGTTATGTAACAGACAGATGAACAAACCACCCACGTTTCTCGTTGTTGCTCAGGGTGTTGGAGTCAATGCAGGCATGAGTGACATACTTCTTCAGGTCAGCAAGGTGCTTGTCTGGGATGACCTTTGACCTGGCCAGGATGTTGACCCAGGCATGGACACACGTTCCGTCCTCGGCCTCCTCTGGACACGTGTAGATCACCATGTACATCGGGCAGGTATGCAGGATACGGAATGTGACTGACAGGAGAGACACATCCTGATTAATTTATCATCCAAAACTGTGTTCCACAGGAGATATTGCTTGTTAGAGATCAAACGATATCTCCTGAGAGATATCAGTTTGATAGTAGATTTTGTACAGTGCCCTGACAATGCTATAACGCTTTCATGAACTTGATGATGTCACAATGCATGACTATTTTAATGACATCGCTGCACTGCAAGTCTAATGGCAGAACCGTATTCAAAGACGTACATTTTTCATTGAAAAAGCGAGTGATTTTGATGAAGAGTGATTTTTGATACAAAATATATCACCATCATTTGAAAGTAAAATATCCTCGGCCCGGGATAACTTTGTAACTTCATCGGTGATGTATTTTACATCAAAAGACACTCGGGTGAGATTCTCCATATCCAAATACATTTTGAAACAGTTTAGTTTTAAGCTGCACTGAGCAATATTCCAGCTGTATGGCAGCGGTCTGTAAATAATAGAGTCTGGACCAGACAATCCAGTGATCAACAGCATGAGCATCGATCTGCGCAATTGGGAACCGATGACATGTGTCAACCAAGTCAGCGAGCCTGACCACCCGATCCTGTTAGTCGCCTCTTACAACAAGCATGGGTACTAAAGATCAATTCTAACCCGTATCTTCACGGGTATGAAACAAGAAGACAAAGTCATCAATATCCCCCACAATGGTAAAATACTATTCATGAATATGTCAACTAGTTATGACTATGTCAAATGTTACACTGTTCTTCACATTGATCAAATGAAAACATCAGATGTACACTATTCATATACTAGCATGCTTGTATCAACTACAGACTGCCTGAGTGCTTCCACGGTTTGATGTACCTCAGTAATGCTGATACTGGAAATAGTGTGGTACTGTTGATTTACATCATTAGGTTCTTCAATACCCACAAAGTGGAAGGAGAGTGTTGAAAGGTTTTAAAGTTCTGCTCTGGAAAGGAGCACTACCACCAATTTCAGTCAAAGTAAAACTTGTTGCCATGGAAATGCAAAAACTATTTTATTCAAAATTCCAAACTATCAAAAGTCACAAGTTCACCACCAGACCTATCTATGTGCCAAGTTTGGTGAAGAAACACAGAATGGTTTTGAAGTTTTGCCCTGGAAAGAGCACTACCATCAATTTCATCCAAAGTCACAATTGTTGCCATGGAAATGCAAAAAATATTTTATTCAGAAATCCAAAACTACCAAAAGGCACCAGTTCACCACCAGACCTATCTGTGTGCAAAGTTTGGTGAAGAAATATTGAATGGTTTTTATGTTCTTCTCTGGAAAAGACGAGTTTGCACGGACGGACGGAGTCCAAAATAATACACCCCCATCCCCCACCCCCGCAAAATGCACTGCGGGGGATAATTATATATGTACATTGCCTTGTTGTTCATATCCGGAAACATTTAACAGGTGCTGCCACATTCAACTGGCTGGGGTTGGCGCTAAGCTGTGCAACACTGGAACGGGGTGAAATCCCTGAAGACTGTTACATTCAACAGTGGGCTCCTAGACTGTAACATTCAACGTTAGTGCTCCCTGAACTGGCTAACATTGCGAAGCAAGGTTGCTACCCTGAACTGTTAGCATTCAACAAGTCTCGCTCCCTGAACTGTAACATTCAACAGTGCTCCCTGAACTGTAACATTCAACAAGCTCCCTGAACACAAACGTTTCAACAAAAGCTCCCTGAACTGCTTAACATTCAACAAGCACTCCCTGAACCTGTAACATTCAACAAGTACTCACCTTAACTGTAACATTCAACAAGTGCTCCCTGAACTGTTACATTCAAAAGCGCCTCCCTGAACTGTAACATTCAACAAGTGCTCCCTGAACTGTAACATTCAACAGAGTGCTCCTGAACTGTTACGTTTCAACAGTAAACTCCCTGAACTGTATTGACATTCAACAAGTTGCTCCCTGAACTGGAAACATTAACAAAGCACTCCCTGATCTTGTAACATTCAACAAGTTTTCTGTTACATACATGAGTGGGAGTTCACGTGGTGGTAATACTCCCCTGCAGCAGTTACCTCCCTTAGGCTGATAGCTTCTGTTGGATTACACAGACCAGATTTTTCACTGAAACAATGGACAAATTTACACCTTCAGAAGATAAACAAATTACTAGTTATGTGGAAGTGTACATCTAATGACATGATCATAAACACAAGAAAATATTCATCCAGGAACAGCATGATATGACACATTGAATTTTTTATCAAGACTGACTGGCTGACTGAGTTTTGGTTTTACGCCGCTTTTAGCAATATTCAAGCAACATCACGGCGGGGGACACCAGAAATGGGCTTCACACATTGTACCTATGTGGGGATTCAAACCCGGGTCTTTGGCATGACGAGCCAACGCTTTAACCATTAGGCTACCCCACCGCCCCTTTTTATCAAGAGAATATGAGCAATTCTGTATAGGATCACTGCCTTCATGAACATGCTTTGAGACAAAAGGGCAAATCAAGATCAAAGTATTAAAATTTAACTTAATTTCTGTACCTGCAAGAATGTTAGCACGATTTGCCATCTGGTTTTAAAACTATTGTGGCAAGTCTTAGCTTTACAGGTGCAGCGGTGTTGGAGTAAAAGACATTTACATCTGACACCGAATGTACGCAGGAGAAACAGTCTCATATAAGTTCATTTGCCCTTCAGAAATCAGAGCTAATGACTCATTCTTTGCGAATGTGCTCCCTACTACACAAATATATTATTTTCAGAAAAAAAGTGGACATTGTACACAAAATAATATGGCACATCAACAGATTTTACAATGAAGATTGCTCTGTAACCTGTCAACAAACGTGACTTCATGATGAAAAGATGAATCAAATTTAGAAAGTGCAAAGTTTGATTGACAAGTTCTGTCCCACACAAACCTTGACCTAAAGATGTTCAAAGAATTCAATTTTCAACATAATTCCCTGGCACACTGACACATTTTGCCAATGATGTTGAAGGGATTGTATCTCATTATTATAGAAGTCCTCTTGCTAGTTAAAACAAATCTCCATATCTAGAATGACATCAAACATTGTGAGTGGCAATAAGCACAGGGGGACTTTTCCATTGGAAAAGCTTTTCATTTCTTTCAGTTTTGCAAGAACCTCACTGGATCAGCTTCAAACAGAACTACATTATCTTTGATATGCTTTGACTTGTGCAATTTTTATTGGATGCCAGAAATTTTGGAAACAAATGAGCTCACACGCTTTATTAACCCCTAATATCTAAATTCTAACTCTTTAAAGTTCAAAATCCAACTAATTCTAAACTAATCTTACCCTGAATATCTAACCTCTAACTTTCTTCACTATCAAAAGACACTGATTATCTAAGCCGAATTATGACTATCTAACGACTGACTGACTTTCTCTAACTTAACTCTAAATTTCTAACGTCTGGTATCAGCAAATGTTGAAAACCGATTGATCTCTAACACCTGAATCTGGGAACATGTGTCGCTTCACTTTCGCAGGCAATTCTCGTGCAGTCAGTGTCTATGGAAACTTAACTCTGCAAAGTAACCGTGTTCAATGAATGTTTTAAATTCCATAAACACTAACTGAACGAGATGCTTTGAGTGAACTCTCCCGAACAATGTGTATGGAAATAATTTATTAATGTAACAATTACATGTTTGTCAAAATGTTGGAAAATTCATGAGGGTCAATCAAAAGAACCATGATAACAAGTGTTTGCCACTGATATGGCAATGTCCCCCGCCGCTAAAGAATGGAATATTTATAACACGTTTACTACTTTTTCTTTTTTGGTCACATACAAGATGCCTGAAATGACTGGTGTCTGCATAATCACCCAATGTAGGCTGTCGACATAACTGAAGACATTGGGTACAACAGTTAATGAGATACCGTGTTAACAAGAGTTTCAAAAGTGGTCAAAGTGTCATGGTGAACTTGAAAATAAGGTCAAGGTCACCAAAATCGACTAGTGTCTGGGTAATCCCCCAATGTAGGCTGTCACCAAATTTGAAGACATTGGGTAAAACAGTTCATGAGATATCGCGTTTACAAGAATCGGGATGTACGTACGGACGTACAGACATACATACGTACATACGGACGCCGCTGAATACATAGTCCCCTGTGTCATGTTGCATCGGGGGACAATAAATAACCGGCAACAACTAACCGCTGTATGTATACATGTGACTTACTCTATGCGTCTGTAGAGCCGCACCAGATGCCAGCCATCAAAGTGGAAGTAGGCGGGGCCCAGGGACGCTACCAGGTGCCCTGACAATGGCGTCGACATCACAGTGTACCATTCCCCTTGCAGCTAACAATAACAAAGTGAATAATTCAGAACATGCACTGGACAACAAATGCTAAAAGTTTGAAATTTGACACTGTGTCCAGATATCATTCTTAGGAATATTGCCTTATGCCTGTAATGTTTCCTTAACACCTGGATCTTCAGGGCAGCAATCAACTTCATAAATGACACAAGTATATTTGTCAGCACACAACAGCTTTCATCTGTACTTCACAAAATGAACAGCACATGTTTTATGATATTTCTCCTACATCGCGTGTCAAAGACTCATGAGACATGACTTGTAGGTATAATTGTCTCAAGATGTATAGTCCGTTTGGCTCAAAAGCGGACCGATGAATTGCAATCTAACTCGAAAACTAATAAACATAAAATACTCAATGTAACGCTGATCATTATCAAAACATCATACCCACTCAGTGAGGTTTTTGCAGAATTTTGGTCCTAAAAATAATAAAGTTGTTTAACAAACTATCATTAAAATATTGACACAGTTCACTGTTTGTTACGAGGGGGGAGTGCAGAGAAAGGGACAGCCAGGTGTTCGAGAACGGATGGAGACGGCACAGCACAGGTTAATGAATCAATAACTTTGTCTGTGAACGTGCTTCTCAAACACCTGGCTGTCCCTTTCTCTGCACTCCTCCCTCGTAACAAACAGTGAACTGTGTCAATATTTTAATGATAATTTGTTAAACAACTTTTTTATTTTTAGGACAAAAATTCTGCAAAAACCTCACAGAGTGGGTATGATGTTTTGATTATGATCAGCGTTACATTGACTATGTTATGTTTATTAGTTTTCGAGTTAGATTGCAATTCATCGGTCCACTTTTGAGCCAAACGGACTATACACGTGGTGCAGTTACATTAATACTCACAACACTACAATGCTTGTGATCCACATACATCATGTCAAACTCCCACAAGAGACTTTTAGATATGACTTTACACCCACCCACCTCCGACCCCAACTCTAACAGATCCCAAACCACCTTTTCCCACCCCAGGGATGTTTCTGTCGTGGTGCTACCCCAACAAAACCCAAAGGATCCAAAACCATCATCTTCCAAATCCCAGGGTACTGTTATTATCTGGGACAAAGTGATGTTAGCGCTAAGGTGGTCATAACTCCCATATCTTAACATAGACTTACGAGAGTCTTAACGCTAAGGTGATGGTAACTCACATATACTCTAGGGGGGTACAAATACATAAATCACTAATTGGCATCGTTATAAATGGAACCCCGTCATTAAAAATACTCATTTCGATCATTAATTAACTTAAATCGACCTTATTGACAACGGTGCACAAATCTCACCCGCGAACGAAATTTCAACCAATCAGAGCGGCGCGTCTCTGTGACGTCATATGAGGAATAGATATGAGGGCCGATGCAGAATTCATGTACATTTCAGGGGGTAAATTATCTTGTTTACAGGTTTGTATAAACCTGAAATCGTGACAACTGTTGTTGAAAATGAAAGCTATATGTTCTCACAATCTACTGTCATATATTTTGGTCTCCTGCTTTGCCTAGTTTCCGAGTTACAACTTGTTTTCATAGACGGTTCTGTCAAAATCGCTTGGTGTCGCTAGGCCTTATTTGTTCGAGCCAGGCGCTAGTGATAGCTTAAAACGATGATCAGCCTCGCTCATGACGGTTACGGTTAATTCTTCAACCTAAACAGTGCGACATTAAGAAGGGTGGATGCCCATCAGATGCGGTTATTTGAAAATATCCCAGGTAGTTCTTGTCTGATTGTAATAAAGTGTCAAAGCAGTGTTGGCTTTTTCAGGCTTTCTAATGCCTGGATGGTATAATGACTGATCCAAATTGATTCCATTTCTGTGTTTTTTTACCTCGATATGTAATCATGTCATGTAACAATATGACGTCAATTACGTATGATATTAAAAATTGACATTTGATTTATTTGAATCTGTAAACTAAACAACCCTACTTTGCCATTGCTAGAAGAATCTGAATATTTACTTAGGTAAATAATGCGTACGCATAGTTTTAGCACACAGCAAATGCTTATATGTATTTCTTATGCAACAATGAAGTTCTGTTCGCTGTCGGCCAATAAGTTTTCACATGCAATTAAAATTGCATGCAATACAGCAATTAATACTCCCTTGTCGTAGCCCGTGTTAGGTGGCATAAACCTACACATGTTATTAGTCATCATTCACTTGATGGTCAGTTAAAGAATATATAACAGGTATAATTAGTGGTAACACCACTTAGATTACCGGACAAAGGTTCCCATTTGGCATTTCTTGTGTCTGGAGTAAATACTCAACATTATAAACATCGATCAAAGGATTAACCGATAACACACTGATTGATTAATTACTTTTATCTTGCACAGCGGATTTGTCAAAAGGTAGTGTTTATGTATGTAGATTTACTAATCTATACTGAATACACTCTGTCATGTCAGTGTCTGCATAAAAACAACGTCCTTCTTTCAAAGGATTAACCGCCAATACATTGATTGATCATTATTGGCTAACTAAATTACTTTTTTTAAAGAATGGCGGACATTATGCAATTAGTTGCCAGGTGTGCTATCTTGGGTGACCAATGAGACTATACGCCAATGTGAAATACCTGAAACGATATATCACTTTTTCGTATATTAGACTGTTAAAAGACACATCACTTGGAAGAGCTGCAGATGAATGGCATATGTGGATATTGATGGATACATTCCTCGAACAAGGTAATAGCCTGATATTGTTCCTATAACTTTAATCTGTTTTAATTTTAATATTTGCATTTTGTTTTTATTCATTTGTCGTAGCATTCAACAGAATCATTGTTTTCGCCGTGAAGTGTAATGAGACAGACAACCTACACTAGGGCGTGTGTGCGAATTATGATTCCATTGGCAAACTATAAAATGTCTAGATATTACAGTCCTGTCAAGTATCAGCAGATCGTCAGCTTTTTATTTAGTTTCAAAATGCATACAAGTATGATAATAAACTAATTAGGGTTATAAGACCAAATATAAAGACGTACATTGACTAGTATCTACATACTGGTGAGTGGACGTTAACCACGTGAATGTAGCAAGTCACAGTGGCGGATCCAGAGGGGGGTTCAGGGAGTTCAACCCCCCGCCTTTTGAAAATGACTAAAGACCACATTGAAGTTAATGTTTTGCAATGGCAGAGCCAAGGTGGGGTTCAGGGGGTTCGAATCCCCTGAACACACACCCCCACCGCCACCCCCACCCCTTTGAAAATTTCTGGATCATATGCAAGAAATTTATCGGCGCGAGTATTGTCACATCGAACCCCACCTCGCTTCTGTGGAAGGAATCGTTATGTTAAAAGTTGTGTCATGCAAAATCCTTTTGGTCATGATTCAAATACATATTTAACTACGAGTAGAAAGTAGTTTTGATTTTCTAACTTGAAGAAAACAAACCATAATCTCATTAATTCTAACAGACTTTAGCCTGTGACTTTCACGATTTTCAAAATGGCGCCTGTCGCTAACACCCGCCAGTTGGAGGATAAATGCTATTTAGGTTTGTTTGCACTGAGTTACAAAATCAAAACTGCTTTCTACTGGTAGTAAATTATGTATTGGATTGATGGCCAATAGGATTTTGCATGACATAGCTTATAACATAACAATTTCTCTCGTGGAAGCTAGGTGGGTGTCAATGTAATACTACTTACAATATTACTGTTACTTCGACCACAACCTCGCTTCCGAGGAAGAAATCGTTATGTTACAAGTTGTGTCATGGAATATCTTTATGGTCATCAATCATATACATATGACACCATCGCCCGACCCCAAGGAGCAATTGACGACAACGCAACGATTCGGCATGTCTTCGTTGATGTCGAGAAATCATCAAACTGACGAGCTTGCTACACACTTTATATACAACTAACTGAAATCGTTCCTCATATGACGTCACTGCAGTGCTCTGGCGACAGAGTTACGTAACCTGTCTATGGTTTTAGTTTGGTAGAGTGAAGCAGGCGACTTTTGGGCAACTTTTAATGCATTTCGGTATTAATTAACCACAAGTTTTTAAAGAACGAAGTTGGTGTTCCGCATAAGACTAACCACACATCTTTCATATGTAATAGTTAAAAGAGTAAAAAAAAAAAAAGTTTATTTGTTCTTTAACATAGACTTACATCATAGCGTTAAGAGTTGCATTGCATAAACGACACCCTGGGTTGTCTGAACATCTATTAATTCCTAGGATCATCAACCATTCCCCCAACCTGACAACCCTCCTACCATGGTTGTGTTGATGTTCTCCTGGTACGAGATCCCGGACAACTGACACTCATCTGAAACACAAGATTCACAACAACTTAGTATAAACCAGCCTCATCATGGTCACAATTAGTCTGTCTAACAGTCCCTGAACCTCATTATTTTCCGTTCTGCCCAGCCCTTTCTATATTATATCATTATATATTTAAATATATTTGGATAGTGCCAATATCCAGGTCACCTGCTCAGAGGCGCTTTGTTTTTCCCTCGATCATTGGATGTCTATCTCAAATGGCACATTGCATTATCAATCTCAACTCCCTAGGGATCATACAACTCTTGCAGCCACTAGGTGCACAAAGTTAATGTGGCTTTTCCCATTCTTTTCTAAAATGTTAATGCCCTTAATGAAATAAGTCTAGATTTCCACAGTTTCATTATCGCCCAACTCACTGGGGCTCCTTTTCAATTAAATGGAACTATTAGTTTCGGTCAAAATTATACATATTCAGTGTTAGTCCAGGTCAGGGTGAAATGACATCAAGAACTAGATGGGACGGATGCTGGGACCTCCAGTACCGAGGGAGAGACACCAAGGGATCACATTGGTTAGGGTGAAATGACAACATCAGGAACTAGATGGACCAATGGCGAAAGGGACACCCAAGGATTTCGAACCAGCCCTTCCCACCCCATAGATGTTTCTATCATGACATTTGTCAGGGTGAAATGACACCACCAGGAACTAGATGGACCAAGCGAGGGACACCAAGGGATCCCAAACCAGCCCTTCCCACCCCATAGATGTTTCTGTTGTGACATTTGTCAGGGTGAAATGACAACACCAGGAACTAGATGGACCAATGCTAGGACCTCCAGTTCCGAGCAACGGACACCAAGGGATTCCGAACCAGCCCTTCCCACCCCATAGATGTTTCTGTCGTGACGTTTGTCAGGGTGAAATGACAACACCAGGAACTAGATGGACCAATGCCAGTACCGAGGGAGGGACTCACCTTCTGGGGGTCCTGTGTATCCTGCCTTGTCCATCTCCGCTGCTGATATGAGACACACTCCTGAAATGAAATTTATTTTTATATGCAGATCGTTATCATTATGAATACACAATGCCATTTAGTGGTGAAATGTAACATGTTACATTGAGATTACACTTTTTTTAATATCATTATGGGGGCGGTGGGGTAGCCTAGTGGTTAAAACGTTGGCTCGTCACGACGAAGACCCGGGTTCGAATCCCCACATGGGTACAATGTGTGAAGCCCATTTCTGGTGTCCCCCGCCGTGATGTTGCCGGAATATTGCTAAAAGCGGCGTAAAACCAAACTCAGTCAGTCAGTCAGTAATATCATTATGCTGATGATATGCATGTATGCTGTAAGTTTTCCAGTTGAAAAGTTGGCAAAAAAATGGATAAAAAAAATATGCAGATGAATTAGGGTGTCGTGTGAATGGTGCAGACAGACCAGATACAAGCAATTAAATACATGTAACTCTTTTGCCATGGCATGGCAAGGCAGACAGGCAAAGCAAGGGGATGTTTTTATTTCCTCCCATGGAAACAGCAGATGAAGATTTGTGGCTCTAGAAACAGTATGCAAGTACCCATAGTAAGATCATTATTGATGCAGAGTCCCTCATGTTCATCTTTCCAAGTTTATTCAACGATCAGTAGAATAAACTCTACAATAATGAACTTATTGAAAGTAGGTGCGTGCATGCGTGCGTGTGTGTGTGTGTGTGTTAGGTGTGTGTGTGTGTGTGTTAGGTGGGTGTGTGTGTGTGTTAGGTTTTTACGCTGCTTTTAACAATATTCTAGCAATATCGCGGCAGGGGACACCAGAAATGGGCGTCCCACATTGTGGGGATTCGAACCCAGGCCTTTGACGTGATGAGTGAACGCTTTAACAACTGGGCTACCCCAAAGCCCCGTTAGGCAGACTGAGAAACAGGAACAAGCCATTAGACACATTCTGGGACTTTCAAAGTAAAAAAAAATAGTTAGATTCTACTATTCTTCCACTGTTTCACACATATCATAACTGACTGTTGTAAATATATGATGGTGTTCTTAGACAACTTTACTCACTGTCACAATTTGAAAGAAAAAGTTACGAAGTACCTGGTTTGACGTCCAAGAGATCGCTGACATCCACACACAGACTTGAAATGTCACCCAGAAGTGGCTGGAGTGGTTCGTCAGGGATGCTGTTATGTCGAGACATAATGGCGACCTGAGTCTTCTCCTTCAGACAATGCCCATCAGTCTGTAGACTGCGCGATATGTACAAAATGGCGTATTCATAGTCTGTGTACACAACTCGGTAGGTGGCTGTAAAGACAGAAGACAGAACTCACGCTGACGCATATGATCTCATGCTGACGAATATGATCTCATGCTGACACATGATCTTACGCCGATGCATATCTCACGCTGACGCATATGATCTCACGCTGACGCATATGATCTCACGCTGACGCATATGATCTCACGCTGACGCATACAATCTCACACTGACGATATGATCTCGCGCTGACGCATATGATCTCACTCTGAGACATTTGATCTCACGCTGACGCATATGATCTACATCAATGTACACAATTGGAATACGATGATATGTGTCAACCAAATCATCAAGCCTGCCACCCGATCCCGTAAGTCGACTCTTACGACAAGCATGGGCTACTGAAGATCAATTCTAACCTGGACCTTCACGGGTTCTAAAGAAACAACAGTTACTTACCGTTGTTTGGTAGCACAAAATATCCTGGAGATCTCTGTTCCATTGTCACATGACGAGGCTGAACACACTGGTGGGAGGTTTGGCTGTCATCAGTAAAGGAAGATCATGTCAGTGTGTTAGAATTTACATTCTGCATTTTGATTGGTCCCTCATTGAGATCAAATCAATGTTAGACATTGCTTTTTGTTGATGGTCACTGAAGAGATGACCTAGTTCCAGTAGGCAATTACATATGGTGTATATGGTTATTCGGGCAGCAATCATTGAAACTGAGTAAGTTTGAACCATACTGAAGCAAAAGTAAGTTTGAGAAAACTTTGTGGACTACAGCATGCTTTCTGAGTGAAGCCCGAAGGGTTAGCGGCATTGCCACTACAGGTATGTATCACATGTACATTTCTGTATACATACATCAGAATCAAATCAAAATACAGAAATGTACCCCATTCTACACTGTCATACTATTGTATAAGATGCATTCAATTGCATTATCCCCAAATGAGCTGAATTCGACGTTCTGGTGATTTCGATGATTGCATTGCTTTCGAGCTATATCAGGGGAATTACATGCACGATCTAAATGCACAAGCAGTTTCATCGGTTGGGCAGATGCCCAGTCGCTGTCGTGAAGTTTTATTGACAATGGAAATCTGGAAGTTCAGTTATATAAAAGCAAACAAACATCAATATTGTCTACCCGAGATGGTTAATAACACTTCAGATGTAAAATCAATTGCCTATATAACAGAAATGGCGAAAATTCAGGACGATCAGTCCTTTGCTGGTGACAGGCAATACATAAATAGGAAGACAAACGTGATCACAACCACTCCTTCACAGTCGCGGGCGAAAAAGTATATCATCGTAGAAAACCCATACAAAATCGGATGTGGAAGCGGGTAACAGTTTCCCGATCTGATGTCATCAACGCTATTTTTGTAGGAAACACTTGATATTTTGTGTGAAATATATGAATATATCCTTTAACACTCAAGGTTAGGAAAATAAAACTTTAGATGATATTAAATATAAAAATTACTTTTTTGTCTTGCATCATCAAAAACCCCTGACACTGGCATCTATAAGAAACTAGCATAGACAATGACGAATATTTCATGATGCACAATATCACTCGGAAACAGGCAAACAGAAACTAAAAACTGAACCAGTTTGCCATTAGGCATAGAATATGAACTCATCAGCCATTTAGGGTACCGGGTATGGCTATGTCTTCTGACTTTCTTTAGGGTACATTTCTGTATACAGAAAGCGTGCATAGTACCCCTTTAGCTCTATCGATGGTAGTAGCCCCTTTATCCCACAGATGACATCCTTTCCTTGCCAGCTTGCTGACAGGATAATCACTTCAGCAAGGCTGACATGGTTTCACATGGTTTAACTTCAGCAAGGCTTACAAGGTTTCACATGGTTTAACTTCAGCAAGGCTGACATGGTTTCACATGGTTTAACTTCAGCAAGGATGACATGGTTTCTCTTCAGCAAGGCTGACATGGTTTCACATGGTTTAACTTCAGCAAGGCTGACATAGTTTCACATGGTTTAACTTCAGTAAAGCTGACATGGTTTCTCTTCAAGCTGAAGGCTGACATGGTTTGACATGGTTTCTCTACAGCAAGGCTGACATGGTTTCACATGGTTTAACTTCAGCAAGGGTAACATGGTTTCACATGGTTTAACTTCAGCAAGGCTGACATGGTTTCACATGGTTTCTCTTCAGCAAGGCTGACATGGTTTCACATGGTTCAACTTCAGCAAGGTTGACATGATTTCACATGGTTTCTCTTCAGCAAGGCTGACATGGTTCAACTTCAGCAAGGCTGACATGGTTTGACATGGTTTCACATGGTTTAACTTCAGCAAGGCTGACATGGTTTCACATGGTTTCTCTTCAGCAAGGCTTACATGGTTTCACATGGTTTAACTTCAGCAAGGCTGACATTATTTCACATGGTTTCTCTTCAGCAAGGCTGACATGGTTTCTCTTCAGCAAGGTTGACATGGTTTCACATGGTTTAACTTCAGCAAGGCTGACATGGTTTTTCAACAGCAAGGCTGATAAGGTTTTTCTTCAGCAAGGCTGACATGGTTTCACATGGTTTAACTTCAGCAAGGCTGACATGATTTCACATGGTTTCTCTTCAGCAAGGCTGACATGGTTTCACATGGTTTAACTTCAGCAAGGCTGACATGGTTTCACATGGTTCAACTTCAGCAAGGCTGACCTGACATGGTTTCTCTACAGCAAGGCTGACATGGTTTCACATGGTTTAACTTCAGCAAGGCTGACATGGTTTCACATGGTTTAACTTCAGCAAGGCTGACATGATTTCACATGGTTTAACTTCAGCAAGGCTGACATGGTTTCACATGGTTTCTCTTCAGCAAGGCTGACATCGTTTCACATGGTTTAACTTCAGCAAGGCTGACATGGTTTCTCATGGTTTTCTTCAACAAGGCTGACATGGTTTCACATGGCGTAACTGACATGGTAACATTCAGCAAGGCTGACATGGTGTAACTTCAGCAAGGCTGACATGGTTTCACATGGTTTAACTTCAGCAAGGCTGACATGGTTTAACTGCAGCAAGGCTGATTATCTAGCAAGGCTGACATGGTTTCACATGGTTTAACTTCAGCACATGGCATGGTTTAACTTCACATGATTTCACATGGTTTCTCTTCAGCAAGGCTGGCTGACATGGTTTATCTTCAGCAAGGCTGACATGGTTTCACATGGTTTTACTTCAGCAAGGCTGACATGGTTTCACATGGTTCAACTTCAGCAAGGCTGACATGGTTTCTCTTCAGCAAGGCTGACATGGTTTTTCTTCAGCAAGGCTGACATGGTTTCACATGGTTTAACTTCAGCAAGGCTGACATGGTTTTTCTTCAGCAAGGCTGACATGGTTTCACATGGTTCAACTTCAGCAAGGCTGACATGGTTTCTCTTCAGCAAGGCTGACATGGTTTGTCTTCAGCAAGGCTGACTTCCACATGGTTTAACTTCAGCAGGCTGACATGGTTTCACAGGCTGGTTTCACATGGTTTCAGCAAGGCTGACATGGTTTCACATGGTTCAACTTCAGCAAGGCTGACATGGTTTTTCTTCAGCAAGGCTGACATGTCTTCACATGGTTTAACTTCAGCAAGGCTGACATGGTTTTTCTTCAGCAAGGCTGACATGGTTTCACATGGTTCATGGCGAAAGCTTCACATGGTTTGACATGGTTTCTCCTTCAGCAAGGCTGACATGGTTTCACATGGTTTTAACTTCAACAAGACTGACATGGCTGACATGGTTTTCACATGGTTTATTTTCAGCAAGGCTGACATGGTTTCACATGGTTTAACTTCAGCAAGGCTGACATGGTTTTCATGGTTTTCTCTTCAGCAAGGCTGACATGGTTTCACATGGTTTAACTTCAGCAAGGCTGACATGGTTTCACATGGTTTAACTTCAGCAAGGCTGACATGATTTCACATGGTTTCTCTTCAGCAAGGCTGACATGGTTTCACATGGTTTAACTGTAGCAAGGCTGACATGGTTTCTCTTCAGCAAGGCTGACATGGTTTCACATGGTTTAACTTCAGCAAGGCTGACATGCTGTAGCAAGGCTGACATGGGTTCCCATGGTTTAACTTCAGCAAGGCTGACATGATTTCACATGGTTTCTCTTCAGCAGGGCTGACATGGTTTCTCTTCAGCAAGGCTGACATGGTTTCACATGGTTTTACTTCAGCAAGGCTGACATGGTTTCACATGGTTCAACTTCAGCAAGGTTGACATGGTTTCTCTTCAGCAAGGCTGACATGGTTTTTCTTCAGCAAGGCTGACATGGTTTCACATGGTGTAACTGTAGCAAGGCTGACATGGTGTAGCAAGGCTGACATGGTTTCACATGGTTTATTTGTAGCAAGGCTGACATGGTTTCACATGGTTCAACTTCAGCAAGGCTGACATGGTTTCACATGGTTTCTCTTCAGCAAGGCTGACATGGTTTCACATGGTTTAACTTCAGCAAGGCTGACATGGTTTAACTTCAGCAAGGCTGACATGGTTTCATGGTTTAAAGCAAGGCTGACATGGTCAGCAAGGCTGACATGGTTTCACATGGTTTAATTTGTTGACATGGTTTCACATGGTTTAACTTCAGCAAGGCTGACATGGTTTCACATGGTTTAACTTCAGCAAGGCTGACATGATTTCTGACATGGTTTCACTCTTCAGCAAGGATGACATGGTTTTCTCTTCAGCAAGGCTGACATGGTTTCACATGGTTTAACTTCAGCAAGGCTGACATGGTTTCATGGTTTCATGGTTTAACTTCAGCAAGGCTGACATGGTTTCACATGGTTTAACTGTCAGCAAGGCTGACATGGTTTTCTTAGCAAGGGCATGGACATGGTTTCACATGGTTTAACTTCAGCAAGGCTGACATGGTTTCACATGGTTTCTCTTTCAAGGCTGACAGTCTGGCATGATTTGTCTTCACATGGTTTAACTTCAGCAAGGCTGACATGGATATGGTTTAACTTCAGCAAGGCTGACATGGTTTCACATGGTTTAACTTCAGCAAGGCTGACATGGTTTCTCTTCAGCAAGGCTGACATGGTTTCACATGGTTTAACTTCAGCAAGGCTGACATGGTTTCACATGGTTTCAACTTCAGCAAGGCTGACATGGTTTCACATGGTTTAACTTCAGCAAGGCTGACATGGTTTCACATGGTTTAACTTCAGCAAGGCTGACATGGTTTCACATGGTTTAACTGTAGCAAGGCTGACATGGTTTCACATGGTTTCTCTTCAGAAAGGCTGACATGGTTTCCATCACAATAAACAGCTGTAAATGTTGACCAATCACAATAAACAGCTGTAAATATGAACCCATCACAATAAACAGCTGTAAATATTAACCCATCACAATAAACAGCTGTAAATATTAACTCATCACAATAAACAGCTGTAAATAGTAACCCACTACAACAGATATGCTGTAGATAGTAACCCACTACAACAGATATGCTGTAGATAGCAACCCACTACAACAGATATGCTGTAAATAGTAACCCACTACAACAGATATGCTGTAGATAGCAACCCAATACAACAGATATGATGTAGATAGCAACCCACTACAACAGATATGCTGTAGATATTAACCCACTACAACAGATATGCTGTAGATAGTAACCCACTACAACAGATATGCTGTAAATAGTAACCCACTACAACAGATATGCTGTAAATAGTAACCCACTACAACAGATATGCTGTAGATATTAACCCACTACAACAGATATGCTGTAGATATTAACCCACTACAACAGATATGCTGTAGATATTAACCCACTACAACAGATATGCTGTAGATATTAACCCACTACAACAGATATGCTGTAGATATTAACCCAATACATCAGATATGCTGTAGATATTAATACAACATGTGTAGACAGATAACCCACTACAACAGATATGCTGTAGATATTAACCCACTACAACAGATATGCTGTAGATATTAACCCACTACAACAGATATGCTGTAGATATTAACCCACTACAACAGATATGCTGTAGATAGTAACCCACTACAACAGATATGCTGTAGATATTAACCTATACATCACTATGCTGCAGATATTAACCCACTACAACAGATATGCTGTAGATATTAACCCACTACAACAGATATGCTGTAGATATTAACCCACTACAACAGATATACTGTAGATATTAACCCACTACATCAGATATGCTGTAGATATTAACCCAATACATCAGATATGCTGTAGATATTAACCCACTACAACATATATGCTGTAGATAGTAACCCACTACATCAGATATGCTGCAGATATTAACCCACTAAAACAGATATGCTGTAGATACTAACACACTACAACAGATATGCTGTAGATATTAACCCACTACAACAGATATGCTGTAAATAGTAACCCACTACAACAGATATGCTGTAGATATTAACCTACAACAACACTAGCTGTAAATAGTAACTCTCTACAACAGATATGCTGTAGATAGTAACCCACTACAACAGATATGCTGTAGATATTAACACTACAACAGATATGCTGTAGATATTAACCCACTACAACAGATACAGATATTAACCCACTACAACAGATATGCTGTAGATATTAACCCACTACAACAGATATGCTGTAGATAGTAACCCACTACAACAGATATGCTGTAGATATTAACCCACTACAACAGATATGCTGTAGATATTAACCCACTACAACAGATATTCTGTAGATATTAACCCACTACAACAGATATGCTGTAGATATTAACCCATTACAAAACACTCAGCTGTAAGTATTAACCCACTACAAAGCACTCAGCTGTAAGTTTTAACCCACTACAAAACACAACTGTAGGTTAGTAGCTACGGTTTCACGCAGCTTTTAGCAATATTCCAGCAATATCACAGCGGGGGACACCAGAAATGGGCTTCACACATTGTGTCCATGTGGGGAATCGAACCCGGGTCTTCGGCATGATGAGTGGATGCCTAACCACAAGGCAAGGTAATAACTCACGACAACACAGCTGAAAATACTAACCCATGACACTGAGGTGTAAACAGTCACAGAGATGTAAATCCTAACCCTCTACAACAGAGAGATGCCAATATGATCCCACTTACTTGTATCCCTTGAAGACTAGTGTAAGACGGTCGTCACCATTCAGGAAGTACTTGTGGGTCATGGATCTGTAGGTCTTCTCTCCGTAGAAGTATGGCAGAATCTTCAGGGCATTCCATTTACCCAGGAACTGAGGAAACAAGTGACACATGTACATAAACTGTGTCTGTATGTAGAACATCGTGTTTGTACAGAAGAGATCATATCTGCAAGTAGAACATCGTGTGTGTACAGAAGAGATCATATCTGCATGTAGAACATCGTGTTTGTACAGAAGAGATCATATCTGCATGTAGAACATCGTGTTTGTACAGAAGAGATCATATCTGCATGTAGAACATCGTGTGTGTACAGAAGAGATCATATCTGCATGTGTAGAACATCGTGTGTACAGAAGAGATCATATCTGTGTGTAGAACACCGTGTGTACAAATAAGAGATCTTAACTGTGTGTAGAACATTGTGTGTACATAGGAGATCATATCTGTGTGTAGAACATCGTGTGTGTACATAAGAAAACATATGTGTGTGTAAGACATTGTGTTTGTACACAGGAAATGATATCTGTGTGTAGAACATCCTGTTTATACATTGGAGATCATATCTGTCTGTAGAACATTGCGCTTGTACATAGGAGATCATATCTGAGTGTAGAACATTATGTTTGGATGTAGAAAATATGTCTGTAGGACATCATGTCTGTATGCAGGAAATTATGTCTGTAGGGCATCATGTCTGTATGCAGGAAATTATGTCTGTAGGACATCATGTCTGTATGCAGGAAATTATGTCTGTGTGTATGACATCATGTCTGTATGTATGCAGGAAATTATGTTCTGTGTAGGACATCATGTGTATGCAGGAAATTATGTCTGTAGGACATCATGTCTGTATGCAGGAAATTATGTCTGTCTGTAGGACATCATGTCTGTATGCAGGTAATTATGTCTGTGTGTAGGACATCATGTCTGTATGCAGGAAATTATGTCTGTCTGTAGGACATCATGTCTGTATGCAGGAAATTATGTCTGTAGGACATCATGTCAGTATGCAGGAAATTATGTCTGTGTGTAGGACATCATGTCTGTTTGCAGGTAATTAAATCTATGTGTAGGACATCATGTCTGTATGCAGGTAATTATGTCTGTGTGTAGGCCACCTGGTGTTTACATACATACATTTCCGACTTACTTGAGTGAGATCGAAGTCTGCCTGTATAGGTATATTGGGCACCTTGTGTTTACATACATACATTTCCCGACTTACTTGAGTGAGATCGAAGTCTGCCTGTAAGGTGTATTGGGCACCTGGTGTTTACATACATACATTTCCCGACTTACTTGAGTGAGATCGAAGTCTGCCTGTATGGGTATATTGGGCACCTGGTGTTTACATCCATACATTTCCCGACTTACTTGAGTGAGATCGAAGTCTGCCTGTATGGGTATATTGGGCACCTGGTGTTTACATACATACATTTCCCGACTTACTTGAGTGAGATCGAAGTCTGCCTGTATGGGTATATTGGGCACCTTGTGTTTACATACATACATTTCCCGACTTACTTGAGTGAGATCGAAGTCTGCCTGTATGGGTATATTGGGCACCTGGTGTTTACATACATACATTTCCCGACTTACTTGAGTGAGATCGAAGTCTGCCTGTATGGGTATATTGGGCACCTGGTGTTTACATCCATACATTTCCCGACTTACTTGAGTGAGATCGAAGTCTGCCTGTAAGGTGTATTGGGCACCTGGTGTTTACATACATACATTTCCCGACTTACTTGAGTGAGATCGAAGTCTGCCTGTATGGGTATATTGGGCACCTGGCATCGGTCTGAAACAAGGGGAAATACACATGGTCATGTGATAACAGGAATGTCAGAGTGAGTGAGTGAGTGAGTTTAGTTTTACGCTGCACTCAGCAATATTCCAGCTATATGGCGGCGGTCTGTAAATAATCGAGTCTGGACCAGACAATCCAGTGACCAATAGCATGAGCATCGATCTACGCCATTGGGAACCGATGACATGTGTCAACCAAGTCAGCGAGCCTGACCACACGATCCCGTTGGTCGCCTCTTACGACAAGCATAGTCACCTTTTGTGGCAAGCATGGGTTGCTGAAGACCTATTCTACCCGGATCTTCACGGGTCCAGGGCCTAGATTTTTGAAGCACTCTTAGCGCTAAGATAGTCGTAAGTTAATGTTAATGTATAGCACTTACGACTATCTTAGCGCTAAGAGAGCTTCGAAAATCTAGGGCCAGGAATGTAAAATATTAAATGCCCTCTTTGCTTTGAGTCTTCAGCTTATGATATCACACTGAAAACAGCCATCTAGTCAGACTATACCATTCTATATGAGAGAAAGAAACGGTGATAAACTTAATGCCTCATGTTTAGTGTCTCAAATACAATGTGAAATTGGTAGGGACATCCAATAACATCATTCCAAAGTAATGAAGCCATGGTTTATCATAAATTATGAGAAGATCCCTTGATAACCAAGGATGGACATGTGGCTGATATACTTATCATATTCATTCATGAGTGAGTGAGTATGGATTTATGCTGCTTATAGCAATATCATGGCGGGGGACACCAGAAATGGGCTTCACACATTGTACCCATGTGGGGAATCGTAGCCGAGTCTTTCAGTGTGACGAGCGGACGCTTTAACCATTAGGCTAAACCACCTCCCCGAATAATGGCATAAGAGAAGCAAATGAGAGCACAGTTTGTGTCATTGTCCCTACAAACTGGATAAAGATATACAAGATCCAAAACACAGCAGTAAAAGCCACTCCATGAAAAAAAGAAAAAAGATGATGCAGTCAAAGATGATGCAGTCAAAGAAGCAACATGTCACACCTGTTCTAAAGGCTCTACACTGACTATCTGTGATGAGACTTCAACACAAGATTCTTTCCATAACATATCAAAGCACTACAAAACATTGCGAAATTCGTATAACGTAGACCCACTTACAGCATCACCAACTCATTCACTCACTAACTCAAGCTCACCTGCTCCACTGTGGCCAACAGTCTCAAGGTACTCTGGTGGAATGGTACACAGATCTGGAACATCAAAAGGGAAATCGAAATATTATTGCCAAGAATAGTATATACCTGTATTAACATACACCATTGTCTTCAGGTCCACACCTATCCTCTGTACATACCTGTATCTACATACACCATTGTCTTCAGGTTACACATGTTCTCTGTACATACCTGTATCAACATACACCATTGACTTCAGATCCACACACATCATCTGTACATACCTGTATCAACATACACCATTGTCTTCAGATCCACACACATCCTCTGTACATACCTGTATCAACATACACCATTGTCTTCAGATCACACACACCACATGTCCACACACATCCTCTGTACATACCTGTATCAACATACACCATTGTCTTCAGATCCACACCTGTCCTCTGTACATACCTGTATCAACATACACCATTGTCTTCAGATCCACACACGTCCTCTGTACATACCTGTATCAACATACACCATTGTCTTCAGGTCCATCCTCTGGTCATACACCATTGTCTTCAGATCCACACACATCATCTGTACATACCTGTATCAACATACACCATTGTCTTCAGGTCCACACCTGTCCTCTGTACATACCTGTATCAACATACACCATTGTCTTCAGATCCACACACATCCTCTGTACATACCTGTATCAACATACACCATTGTCTTCAGGTCCACACCTGTATTCATCCTCTGGTATCCATACCACATCATCTGTACTCCTCTGTACATGTACACCTGTATCAACATACACCATTGTCTTCATACCTGTATCCATACACCATTGTCTTCTCCTCTGTACATACCTGTCAATCAACATACACCATTGTCTGTATCAACATACACCATTGTCTTCAGGTCCACACACGTCCTCTGTACATAGCTCTCCAGCAACTTCATCGTGTCAGGGTCAATGATGTCATCCCTGGCCAGTATGGACGTGTGTGCCAGACCATCAAGACACCACCCATCGTTGCCAACTTGACGACACGAATATGTCACAGCGTAGTTGTAGTCTGTGTAAACTATCTTGAAAGTGCCTGATGAGAGTAAAATAACTGGATTCACAAAAACTGACACAAATATCTCAGAATCTATACATTTCCAGTAAATCCTTAAAAAAACAGTATATGATACAAAAGATTCAAGATCATACTTATGGCATGAGTGATCAAGTGTCAGGAACAGCTTCCACATTTCTATTGCAAGAGATCAGCAATAAGGAGGTGGCTGAAAAGTTCTGTGCCTAATTATGACAGACTGAACTGATGGTGTAGACTGTCTGTACACTTCTGCCAATGATGCATGAGTGATGGATCCTACTGGTGTAGAAAGCTTTCTCTTCTTGGTGGTGGACAAATTATGGTATTCCATAGCCAAAATCAACTGCATAATGCTTGCCAGACAGTTCTTTCATCAGGTTCGGGAAGAGGTAGAATTCTACTGATTCTACTGATGAGCATGGAAAGTATTGTACATAATACAAGCAAACTGTTTAGGGTGTACCAGACATGCTTTAGGTTAGGATCAGAACTTTCCAGCCATCCCTCATTGATGGTGACAATGTGTAACCTGGCTGACTGTATCCCACGTCATTCTCACAAAGACTTGAATTTATAAAGGCAGCTGTTGAATATTTCTAAGTATAGCATGAAAGAACACTCACTTACAGATTATTACAGATAGAGATAATTACCTTGGCCTGTCAGGGTACTGAAGATGTAGTCTCCATGTGAATCTTTCTCAAACAATATTGTACCTGGCCTGAGGCAGGTGCTTGATCCCTGTCTATAAACAGAGTGAGTGAGTGAGTTTAGTTTTATGCTGCTTTTAGCAATATTCCAGCAATATCACGGCAGGGGACACCAGAAATGGGCTTCACACAATGTGCCCATGTGGGGAATCGAACCCGGGTCTTCGGTGTGACCAGCGAACGCCTTAACCACTAGGCTACCCCACCACCCCCTCTGGAAACAGAAACAAGTGCTCTTTACAGTGAGTGAGTGAGTTTAGTTTTACGCTGCTTTTAGCATTATTCCATCAATATCTGGGCGAGGGGACACCAGAAATGGGCTTCACACATTGCACCCAGTTCTTTACAGAATCACACTGTGATACTAAATGTAACAGCACATGTTGTACTTTACTTCATCAAAAATACACCACAATGCCAGAAATAATGATAACTGATTATTTGCCAAAGAAGATTCTGTTCAATCCATTGGGCTTAAAAGGCAAACTGGTGATGAACAGAAGTTGAGGGAGGTAACTCCTACCAAGATGTAGCCATAGGGGGTTGGGTAGGTGTTTGAATAACAAGGGAAATAACTCCTGTTGACATGTAGCCACAGGTGCTGTGAAATAACATAAGAGAGGTAACTCCTACTGACATGTATCCACAGAAGGTGCGGAGAAATAACGTAAGGGAGTTAACTCCTGCTAACATGAATCCACAGAAGGTGCTGAGAAATAACATGAGTTAACTCCAGCTAATATATAGGCACAGGCAGTGGTGTGAAACAACATAAGGGAAGTAACTCCTGCTAATATGTAGGCATAGACAGTGGTGTGAAATAACACAAGGGAGGTAACTCCTACTGACATGTAACCACGGTAGGCAGTGGTAAAAGCTCCGTCGTCCTTCAAAAAGTAATCTTGTATTGCTGTCAGATAAACCTTCCCACCAAAGTTGTTCGGCGACGTCTTGATGATATTCCACATCCCTAAAAACTAAAAGATGAGAATGATAAACTATCTTGTTCAAAGCCAGAGCAAAACTGGGAAGGGATGGATGAAAAGCAGTTGACGCCAAGAGAATTGGGGCAGAAACAAACTCCGAATTCCAGCCATCACTTTCAACAAATCCCATTTTTTTACTCCAAGGCAGTTATCAGTCTTCCCTGCTTGTCATAGACATATACTCACTCGGTTCTTGTCAAAGTTCTTTTGTATTGGCATCTTGTCCAGCTTACACATCTCTGAGGGGAAAAGATCACAGTGAAACATTACTGTGAAACATCCTTTCTAAACATCATTGTGAAAAGAGTAGTTTTAAAACATCATTGTGAAACAGAATTTCCTATACAATATTGTGAAACATCATTTTAAAAACATCATTGTGAAACAGAATTTCCTATACAATATTGTAAAACATCATTTTTAAAACATCATTGTGAAACAGTATTTCCTATACATTATTGTGAAACATCATTGTGAAACAGAATTTCCTATACATTATTGTGAAACATCATTGTGAAACAGAATTTCCTATACATTATTGTGAAACATCATTTTTAAAACATTATTGTGAAACAGACTTTCCTATACATTATTGTGAAATGGCATTTTTTAAACATTATTAGGAAGCAGAGTTTCCTGTACATTATTGTGAATGAGAATTTTTTAAAAGTCATTGTGAAAAAGAATTTCCAAACGTTCAACTAACCACAAGCGCTCCATTTGGTCATATTGACATCTTGTTAAACTTTCAAGACAATGTAAAGCTAAGTCCAAAAGATAAACCATTATGAACATGTCCTGTAACATGAATGACAGCTCACCTTCACTGTGATAGCCAGCGGAGACCAGGTAGTCAACAGGTATCTCACACAGATCTGGAATACAAACACACATAGTTATCAGATTGTACACTTGCTACATTATGACTCATATTCTGAACACATACCTGGTACATTATCCTCCACACATGCCTGGTACATTATTCTCCAAACATACCTGGTACATTATCCTTCATATCCTCCACACATACCAGGTACATTATCTCTCATATCCTCCACACATACCAGGTACATTATCTCTCATATCCTCCACACATACCTGGTACATTATCTCTCATATCCTCCACACATACCTGGTACATTATCTCTCATATTCTGAACCAACACATACCTGTTACATTATCACTCATATCCTCCACACATACCTGGTACATTATCACTCATATCCTCCACACATACCTGGTACATTATCCTTCATATCCTCCACACATACCTGGTACATTATCTCTCATATCCTCCACACATACCTGGTACATTATCACTCATATCCTCCACACATACCTGGTACATTATCACTCATATCCTCCACACATACCTGGTACATTATCTCATATCTCCACACATACCTTGTACATTATCTCTCATATCCTCCACACATACCTGGTACATTATCTCTCATATCCTCCACACATACCTGGTACATTATCTCTCATATCCTCCACACATACCTGGTACATTATCCTCATATCCTCCACACATACCTGGTACATTATCTCTCATATCCTCCACACATACCTGGTACATTATCTCTTCATATCCTCCACACATACCTGGTACATTATCTCTCATATCCTCCACACATACCTGGTACATTATCTCTCATATCCTCATATCCTGGTACACATCCTTCATATCCTGTACACATACCTGGTACATCATATCCTGCACACATACCTGGTACATTATCCTTCATATCCTCCACACATACCTGGTACATTATCTCTCATATCCTCCACACATACCTGGTACATTATCACTCATATCCTGCACACATACCTGGTACATTATCACTCATATCCTCCACACATACCTGGTACATTATCTCTCATATCCTCCACACATACCTTGTACATTATCCTTCATATCCTCAACACATACCTGGTACATTATCCTTCATATCCTCCACACATACCTGGTACATTATCTCTCGTATCCTCCACACATACCTGGTACATTATCACTCATATCCTCCACACATACCTGGTTCTTTATCACTCATATCCTCCACACATACCTGGTACATTATCCTTTATATCCTCCACACATACCTGGTACATTATCCTTCATATCCTCCACACATACCTGGTACATTATCACTCATATCCTCCACACATACCTGGTTCATTATCTCTCATATCCTCCACACATACCTGGTACATTATCCTTTATATCCTCCACACATACCTGGTACATTATCTCTCATATTCTCCAAACATACTTTGTACATTATCCTTCATATCCTCCACACATACCTGGTACATTATCCCTCATATCCTCCACACATACCTGGTACATTATCCTTTATATCCTCCACACATACCTGGTACATTATCTTTCATATCCTCCACACATACCTGGTACATTATCACTCATATATCCTACCATTATCCTCATATCCTCCACACATACCTGGTACATTATCCTTTATATCCTCCACACATACCTGGTACATTATCTTTCATATCCTGAACCCACACATACCTGGTACATTATCACTCATATCCTCCACACATACCTGGTACATTATCACTCATATTCTCCACACATACCAGGTACATTATCCCTGATATCATCTAAACATACCTGGTACATTATCCTTTATATCCTCCACACATACCTGGTACATTATCTCTCATATCCTCCACGCTGATGCACAATGCTGATACATAACGTTCCAAGTTGTGCATGATGTTGTCGGGGACAGGGTTCTGCCGGGCGATGATTTGGACACTCATATGCTGCTGTGGACACTGACCATTGTCGGAGATGCTGCTACAGGAGAGGGTTACAGCGTAGTTGTAGTCAGTGTACACTATCTGGACACTGGCAGACATGTTCATGATGTGGGCAGTGTAACGGCCAGGCTGATCCTGGGTCAGCTCCAGGTGGTGCGGAGGCAGGCAGTTTTCTGACCCTGGACTGGAGCGATAGAGCAAAAGTTTGTGCTCAGAACACAATACAGTGAAATTCTGATCTTGGACTGGAAGGATGGAGCAAACTTAGTCGCGAGTACACAATACAGTGAAATTCAGATCTTGGACTGGAAGGATTGAGCAAAGTTAGTGCTCAGTACACAATACAGTGAAATTCTGACACTTTATTGGAAGGATGGAGCAAAGTTAGTGCCCAGTACAATACAGTGAAATTCTGACACTTTATTGGAAGGAGGGAACAAATTTAGTACTCACTACAATACAGTGAAATTCTGGGGTCTTGGGGGTCTTTTACTACAGATTTACATCGATCTCAAAAGCGTTCAGAATGTAACAAAAAGCCCGGAAATTCTCATGTCTGCACAATATCATTCTTTCATGAACTCCAAACAGTACAACCTTTCTCCAATGAAGTCCATCACATTAGATTGTTTTACATATTATGAATCAGTCTAAAACTTTTTCCTTTGACATTACTCAACCAGAGTTCATACAAATGACATTTTCTTTAGCAGAATTGAAAGCAGCAGATCGATGAAGGCACTATATATTCTGTCCTTGTGTAATCACAAGTATTTTCTAATGATAGTCAATGATCAATACACTGTCTGATGTCGGGAATTCACAATTGAAGCCTGCTTGCTCTGGTTATACAACTTTCCTTTCTCTGTCTATGTATTTAGTCTTTTACATAGAATTTTGGAAAATTTGCTTCAGTAATCTCAAGCAGCATGATTGGTCTATAATTTGAAGGGGTATTAGAATTACTTTTCATGTAAAAATTCCTCTTACAGTCTCTTTTTGTGCACACAGTCAAGATGACAAGATAAGATCATAGCGATTTCAAAAGCATAAAGGGAGTGTTCTTGATGAAAATCTCATTTGGCATTCCGCTGAATCCTGTGGGAAGATGGGTAGCCTAGTGTTTAAAGCATTCACTCTTTCTCGTCAAAGACTCAGGTACAAATCCTGCCCTTGAAAATGTGTGAAGCCCATTTGTGGTTAGCTCCGCTGTGGCATTAAACAACTTACACTCACTCACTCACCCATGAAGATCCGGGGTAGAATTGATCTTCAGTAACCCATGTTTATCGTAAAAGGCACTTACTGGGATCGGGTGGTCAGACTCGCTGGCTTGGTTCCCAATTGTGCAGATCGATGCTCATGTTGTTGATCACTGGATTGTCTGGTCCACACTCGATTATGTACAGACCGCCGCCATATAGCTGAATTATTGCTGAGTGAGGCGTAAAACTAAACTCACAAAATGTTTACAGATTGGTTAACAGACTTCCGATAAAGATCCGTCCTTATGAAGAATATTCTTAACACCAATATTGTAAACAATTAACTCATCAGATATTGACAACATAAAAATCAAGTGTTAAAACATTGGTCAGAAAATAATCAAGTCTAAACCAGACAATCCGGTGACTGACATCATAAGCATCGATCTACTCAACTGGAATATGATGACAGGCATCAACCAAGTCAGCGAGAGTAACCAGCTGATCCCGTTTAGTTGCCTCTGACAACAAACATTCTTATCAGGAACTCAATAGGTTACAAGAGTAATCATTAGGGGTGGTTATTGCAGAGAATTTTCATATTGTGATTTATTGCGATGCGAAAGCAAATATTGCGATATGTATTGCACTAACCAGAAGTTGTTTTGTTTTTTTTAAAATACTTATAATCGAGTTAAAGCTTGATTTATAAAGCAAAAATACAACCAAATCACTATGCTTGATTAAGCTTTAATAAAAGCTTTTAATAATGACAAAATAAAAATGTGAATAATATTTGGCACAAATGAAAGAACAATTTAACATCAACGCAGTGGTTACTAGTTTGAACAAGTTTCTCCACTCTCAAAAACAAAAGCCCTGAGATTTTAGACAGCAACTTGACCTGGCCAGGACACATCAGAGATCACTGGTCATTAATGAGTATATATTTAAAACATTAGATCCAAAACATTGCAAAACACTTGAACAACAATAAAGAACACAACTTCAAACCGAACTTGACTTGACTTGTGAATATCCGAGTGTTACGAAGTTTTCCGAAATATACCGGTTTTCAATCAGCGTATCACAATACATATCGTTTTCATGTCTGAACCGGTCATATTGCACAGCCCTAGTAATCATAAGGTTAAAAAATAATAAAATGTAATTAATGTTGTTTGAAATTCTCTTATGCTGGCTTTGCTTCTTCATATCTGTTAACCCGCCGTGATGTTGCTGGAATATTAAAAGCGGCTTAAAACCAAACTCAGTCAGTCAGTCATATCTGTTAGGCCTAGACATACGTGAAACACATGGTCTAAGTTCTGTGAACATCAAATTAATCATATGACACTACTGGTGTGAGAAGTTCTGATGAAATATCAGTGTACAAGTAATTAGTTCCCTAGCTTGATCGATTGATAAAATAACTTGAATATGTTTTAATATGAGAATCAATCAAAAACCATACATCACCATGTAGAGAAGATTCAAACTCTATACGAATTGAAAGCATGGCTCTCATTGGTCGACACAGTCTTACAGAGGAATGCTTCATGTTATTGGTCCTTCAACCATTTGGACTCCATTTTATTTTACCCATGTAAATTGTTCATGAAAAATAATTGGGGGAGGACAAATGTAAGCATGTAATCTTAGCCCCCAATCATAACTTTAACGCAGTCATATTGGTGGGCATATCTGCATTACTCAAAAGGAAAATGACATAAGCAATTCAACACATTCCCAATTTAATTATTAACACTTCTACTCCAGTGATATGTGTGTTGCAAAATATTGTCAAATAATGCATATATCAACTTACAAATTTTATTAAAATACATAATCATATTGGTTGGCATCTCTGCATTACATAAATGGAAAAAGATACAAGCAATTCACCACAGTCGCAATCAAAATCAATTATTAACACAGATACTTCAGTGATATGTGTGTTGTAATTTATTGTTGAAGGCCAACACAAGACAGCTGTCACTATGGGTAGTTGTACTGAAAATAGCACCTACTTGATCCCACTGAAGGCCAAAACAAGTTGGTTTTCACTATAGATAGTTGTACTGAAAAAGGCATCTACTTCATCCCAAAGGAGGCCAAAACAAGATGGCTGTGACTTTAGATATTTATATTGAAAAATGCATCTAGTTCATCCAAATGAAAGCCAATACAAGATGGCTATCACTACAGATAGTTGTACTGAAAATAGCACCTACTTCATCCCACTGAAGGAAAACACAAGAAGGCTGTCACTACACATAGTTGTATAGAAAATAGCACCTACTTCATCCTACTGAAGGACAACACAAGATGGCTGTCACTATAGATAGTTGTATAGAAAATAGCACCTACTTCATCCCACTGAAGGACAACACAAGATGGCTGTCACTATACATAGTTGTATAGAAAATAGCACCTACTTCATCCCACTGAAGGATAACACAAGAAGGCTGTCACTATAGATAGTTGCATTGAAAATAGCACCTACTTCATCCCACTGAAGGCCATCACAGGAAGCCTGTCACTATAGATAGTTGTATAGAAAATAGCACCTACTTCATCCCACTGAAGGACAACACAAGAAGACTGTCACTATAGATAGTAGTATAAAAAATAGCACCTACTTCATCCCACTGAAGGAAAACACAAGATGGCTGTCACTATAGATAGTTGTATAGAAAATAGCACCTACTTCATCCTACTGAAGGCGACCACAAGATGGCTGTCACTACAGATAGTTCTATTGCAAATGGCACCTACAACACAATAAGATGGCTGTCACTATAGATAGTTGTACTGCAAATAGCACCTACTTCATCCCACTGAAGGACAACACAAGATGGCTGTCACTATACATAGTTCTATTGCAAATGGCACCTACAACACAAGATGGCTGTCACTATAGATAGTTGTGTAGAAAACAGCACCTACTTCATCCCACTGAAGGACAACACAAGATGGATATCACTACAGATAGTTGTACTGAAAATAGCACCTACTTCATCCCACTGAAGGACAACACAAGAAGGCTGTCACTATAGATAGTTGCATTGAAAATAGCACCTACTTCATCCCACTGAAGGCCATCACAGGAAGCCTGTCACTATAGATAGTTGTATAGAAAATAGCACCTACTTCATCCCACTGAAGGCCACCACAAGATGGCTGTCACTACAGATAGTTGTGTAGAAAATAGCACCTACTTCAAACCACTGAAGGCCACGACAAGATGGCCAGTTGTACTCAGGAAGTAGTTGATACTCTCCGACATAAATGTTTCTCTGTTTCCGCGGAATGTGGTAGTCTTCATAACTTGCCATTCGCCGACAAACTGGAGACAGAGAGGAATATTCACGTTCTTTACAATTCAATGATACATCAATGCATCAAAGATTCACACCAGGCAACATCATACATGATACACCATTCTTTACTAATCCTGGATTGATTTTTAAAGAAAGAAACATTAAAGGAAACCTACCTAGCTAAACATTTCCTTACCAACCCGTGAAAAACAAAGTGGTAATAGGTACTGAACAATTAAAGCTAGATATCATGAATATTTTAGGGATATTTTTCGCAGAGAAGAGTATGTGAGGTATATGTATCACAGGCAAAAGAAAATACAAACCCATATATGGTGATGACTATGACAATAAGATGATATTACATGCATAATCTAAACGAGTATTATTTGCAGGTGAAATAACATAATATTTTGATTAAATACAATTTTCAGGTGTACAGTTTCTTGGGCAGAAGGCAGGGGTAGGGTCAGATACAGATTTGGAATATGGGGTTAGAGGTAGGGGTAGGGTCAGATATTGATTTGGAATATGGGTTTTGGAGGTAGGGGGGTCTAGATTTGGAATATGAGGTTTGGAGAGTAGGGAGTAGGGTCAGATACAGATTTGGAATATGGGGTTGGAGGTAGGGGGTAGGGTCAGATACAGATTTGGAATATGGGGTTGGAGGTAGGGGTAGGGTCAGATATAGAGCTGGAATTTTGAGTTTGGAGGCAGGTGTAGCATCAGATATAGGGCTGGAATATGAGGTTGGAGGTGGGGGTTAGGGATTGGATCAGATACAGGGCTGGAATATGAGGATGAAAGGTGGGGGTTGGGGTTTTGGGGGTTGAGGTAGGAGTCAAATACAGGGCTGGAATATGAGGATGGAGGTGGGGGGTTGGAGTTTTGGGGTTAGGGATTGGATCAGATACAGGGCTGGAATATGAGGATGGAGGTGGGGGTTGGATTTTTGGGGGTTAGGGATTGGATCAGATACAGTGCTGGAATATGGGGGGTGGAGGTGTGGATGGGAGTTAGGGATAGGAGGCCAGGCCAGATACAGAGCTGGATTATGAGGTTGGAGGCAGGGATTGGGGGTGGGGCCAGATGCTGGACTGCAAATATAGGGTTGGAGGTGGGGGTGGAGTTGTGCCTGTGACAGATTACTGATGGGGATGTCTCTGGCCAGGCACATACCTGACTACTGTTGAAGTCTGGCTGTAGCTGGGCCTGGCAGCCTCACACAGGTGGGGGCTGGGGGGACACATCTGATTAGAGGAGAGTAGGGCAGGGTTAGGGTCAGCAGAAGCTTGGGGAGAAAGGAGGATATTGGTTCCTGGTTGAGTGTCTGATGTCTCTAGTGTCAATCTGGAGGCTGGGATGGGCTGGAGGGCCACAGGTGCTTGTAGGGAACAGTGGTGGACTGAGGTAGGATCTGGTTGTCAGGTAGAAGCTTGTAGGGGCTGTGGTTCCTGGTTGTGTCTGATGGTGGGTAGCAACTGGTGTGTAGGGCTCTGGTGTGTGGGGAGAGGTAAAAGGTAGCTCTGTGGTAGGTTGTACTGGGGCTCTGGTGTGTAGAATCTGTGGTGTGTAGGGCTCTGGTGTGTAGCTCTGTGGTGTGTAGGGCTCTGGTGTGTAGCTCTGTGTGTAGGGCTCTGGGTGTATAGCTCTGTGGTGTGTAGGGCTCTGGTGTGTAGCTCTGTGGTGTGTAGGGCTCTGGTGTGTAGCTCTGTGGTGTGTAGGGCTCTGGTGTGTAGCTCTGTGGTGTGTAGGGCTCTGGTGTGTAGCTCTGTGGTGTGTAGGGCTCTGGTGTGTAGCTCTGTGGTGTGTAGGGCTCTGGTGTGTAGCTCTGTGGTGTGTAGGGTGGGTGGGTCACTTCTATTTGTTGAGGGAGGTTGTTTGAGGTGATGGTGCTGTTAGGAGACAGTGGGGAGATGGAAGGAGTGGGGGGTTCAGGTGGGGGTGGGAGGGTGCTGGTGTTGTCAGACACCAGTGGACAACTTGGAGAAGATGGGAGGAGAGGTGGATGAGGTGGATGAGGTGGGGGTGGGGGTGGCAGGGTTGGGGTACTGGTGTTACTCTTGTCAATAGATGACAGTGGGGAGATGGAAGGTGCTGGGTGGTCAGGTAGAGGGGTGGGAGGGTGCTGGTGTTGACCTTGTCAATAGATGACAACACAGGAAGATGGGAGAAGAGAGGTGGAGGTGGGGATAGTGGGTGGCAGGGTGATGGTGATTGTCTCAACAGTAGATATCTGGGTATGTGGATGAAGGAACGGTGGAGGCTGTGGTGGGGGTGGTACTAGGAGTGAAACATTGGTGATTACGTCACTGGTATTCAACCTGGCCTCAACACTTGTGTTGGTGTTGGCCAAGTTGGTGGTGGGGAAGTATGCCTCAACACTACTAGTTTAAATTTGTGTTGAGAATGCTGTGTAGGCATGGAGGTAGTTGGTGGTGGGGAACTAGGATAGAGGACACTAGTTTCTGGTGGTTTGTGTTGGTGGCAGGGTTGAGATGCTGGTTGTGGAGGGATGGACAGTCTCTGGTTGTGGGGAGGTATGATAGAGGACACTAGTTTCGGGTGGTTGTGTTGGTGGCAGGGTTGAGATGCTGGTGTAGGGATGGACAGTCTCTGGTTGTGGGGAGGTATGATAGAGGACACTAGTTTCTGGTGGTTGTGTTGGTGGCAGGGTTGAGATGCTGGTGTAGGGATGGACAGTCTCTGGTTGTGGGGGAGGTACGATGGAGAGGGTGGGGTGGCTGTTGTGGGGATGGGTGCGGCAGGGATGAAATGTCGGTCTGGACAAATAACGGAGGTAAGCAGGTATGACGGATAAGTGGAGGGTGGTGAGGTCGTGGTGGGGGTGGGAGGATTAGAGTGTTGATCTCATGGAGAGATGGCTGGGGAGGTGGTCGAAGGATAGGTGGGTGGGGAGGCTGTGGTGGAGGGGGTAAGAGGAGTGAATCAGTGTTTACCTGGCTGGCATTAAAGTTGGTCTGAACCCTCGTCCGCTCCACCTGGCACAGGTAATCTTGGTTTACACCTGGTGAAACACAGATATCCAGTGAAGAGCACAAACAGGTTACATATTGAGGGAGATTGAGGTTGAGTGGTTGTATAAGTGGTTGAGTTATTGAGTAGTTGAGTGACCGACTGGATGGTTGAGTGAGCAGTTGAATGGTCGGGTGAGTGGTTGAGTGAGCAGTTGAATGGTTGAGTGGGCAGTTGAATGGTGGGTGAGTGGTTGAGTGAGCAGTTGAATGGTTGAGTGGGCAGGTGAATGGTTGGGTGAGTGGTTGAGTGAGCAGTTGAATGGTTGAGTGAGTGGTTGAGTGAGCAGTTGACGGTTGAGTGAAAAATGCTCTGCGCTATCAGAGCACAATGGCACACCATCAGGTAAGTAACTAATATATTGCCTGATCATATTTACGTCAAGTAATAGAATGATAGGGACTTATTCTAACCACATATCCACATGGGGTGACAAGCAAGAGATTGCTGGGACCTATTGTAACCCAAGGTTCCTTCAGAGGAACAAGCACAAGAAACAGGTCCCCAAGGCAACAAGCAACAGAGTGACGGGGACTAATTCCAACCCAGGTCCCCAAGAGACATAATTATGTGGAAAGATCCCTTTAGATTATTAAAATCTTTTAAAGTAATCAACCTGAGGTTGACTTTTTGACAAACACCCCGAACCTTCAGTTGGGAAATTGGGAAAACTGTACAATATTACATAATACAGGATACTTATCTTACAATTTGTACCTCTACTCTCAGACTAATCTGCCACTGGGACTCTCAAATCGGGTTAATCAATATTACCGTTCGTGTCGTATCCCACTGACTTGAGGAATCCCTCAGTAAAGTCACAGCGACCTGAAGAGAGACGTTAGACATCAGGAACGCTACGTCTACAACATCGATATTACATGGTCGGAGATGTTTGCACTGTCGGAAACGCCAGACAAATCCTTTTTTCTGAAACTCTGATTATTCTTTACACATACCTCCAGTTGAGAGAAAAAGGAAATAATTGTCATGGACTTTATAGGAGGTATTTTGACTATGATTGTATAAAATAATAACTGTACCATTGTTTTATAGGTTTAGAACCACATTGATGCCTTATAGGTATATCAACTCCAATTGCACCATTGTTTTATAGGCATAATAACTGCACTTTTGCCTCAAAGGTATAATAACTCCACTGTTGTTTCACAGGTAAAACAACCGCACTTTTGTCTTATAGGTATTATAACTTCACTGTTGTTTTAAACATCTGCACACTTGCCTTTAGATATAATACACTTTGCCTCACTAGGTATAATAGCTACTCTTTATACTAGGTATTCACTTTGACTTATAGGTATAATATCTGCACTTTTGCCTTACAGATATAATAACCCACTTTTGCCTACTAGGTATAATGCTACTCTTATAGGTATAATGCCTTATAGATATAATAACGCATTTTAGCCTACTAGGTATATACTCTTTTGCCTCTGCACTTTTGCCTTCTAGGTATAGTAACCGCACTTTTGCCTTCTAGGTATAATAACAGCACTTTTGCCTTCTAGGTATAATAACCACACTTTTGCCTTCTAGGTATAATAACTGCACTTTTGCCTACTAGGTATAATAACCGCACTTTTGCCTTCTAGGTATAATAACTGCACATTTTTTAAATACATATAACTGCACAATGGTTTCATTGGTATAATAACTGCACTGTTGTTTTCTAGGTATAATAAACACATCATTATTATCTGAAACAGATGTACCACTTCTTTCTGACAGAAATTGTCTGTTCTATGTCATCTTGACAACTAACAACACTGATGATACTGAGGCTCGATAAGAACATGAACTTCAGTCTCCATAACTCTGGTCTCAGAAAGGATGTTTCCATCAATTCCTGAACTTGTGAACTACAAACCCGTCACAGTTTGCCCAGATAATCATACCAAGATGGAGTTCACAATATCTGACCTTGTCTGCTCCACACATTTAACCCTGACATGGATGGAGGGCTAATAATGAGTTCATACAGAAGATGAAATACTTTTCTCTGAACACAGTTCGATAACCATGTGCAGTGTATCTCAAACTTATTTCAAATAATGTAGGAAACCTCCCAAAGCCACATCATCACCCACACAACCACTTCACCACCCACACATCCGCTCCACCATCAACCAATCCTATCCAACACCCACACATCCACTCCACACCCACTCCAACACATCCACTCACCATCCACTCCAACACCCACACATCCACTCCACCACCATGCCATCCACTCCACCATACCCCCCACCAACCACCACATTCACCTTCCACATCCACTTCCAACACCACCCATACACATTCCTTCACCACCCACTCCAACACCCACATATCCACTTCACCACCGCTCCAACACCACACATCCACTTCACCACCCCTCATCCACCACCACACCACTCAACACCCACCATCCCACCCACATCCACCACCCCCACATCAGCTCCACCACCCACCATCCACTCCACCACCCACACATCTGCTCCACATCCACCATCCATCAGCTCCACACACATCCATTCCACCACCCACACATCCACTCCACCACCCACACATCCGGCTCCACCACCCACACACCCACTCCACCACCCACACATCCACTCCACCACCCACACACATCCACTCCACCACCCACTCCACATCCTCCACCACACACATATCCACTCCACCACCCACACATCCGCTCCACCACCCCACTCCACCACCCACATCCACCACTCCACCACCCACACACCCCATTCCTTGCTCCACCACCCACTCCACCATCACATCCATTCCACCACCCACTCCACCACCCACACATCCACTCCACCACTCACACATCCATTCCACCACCCACACATCCACTCCACTACCCACCCACACATCCACTCCACCACCACCCACACATCCATTCCACCACCCACACATCCACTCCTCCACCACCCACTCCATCCATTCCACCACACATCCACTTCCACCACCCACCACTCACATCCCTCCACACTCCACTAGCCACCGTCCACACATCCATTCCACCACCCACACATCCACTCCACCACCCACCCATCCACTCCACCACCCACACATCCACTCCACCTGGTGTGCCCCATCACACCACTCACACATCCACTCCTCCACCCACACACATCCTCCACCATCACCAATCACATGTCCATCCCACCCACATCCACCCACCACCACCCATCACCTGGTGTGCCCTCAATCATGTCCACTCCACCACCCACACATCCACTCCACCACCCACACCATCACCCAGCCATCACATCCACGCTCTGACTCACCTGGTGTGCCCTCAATCATGTCTTCAACATCAACACAAAGATCAGACACAATTTTCTCCAGTTCAGCCATCTTTGCGTCAGGGACTGGAAAGTTCTTTGTGATAATTTCAACATGCAGGTTTTCTTTCTGGCAATGGCCGCTGTCATCCACCTCCCGACACATGTACAGCACTGCATTGGTGTAGTCTGTGTACACAAACTGGAACTGTTCTGAAAAATATGTACAAGTCTACAATAACCTCAGTAAGTACTTATACATATAAAGCGATTACATTTCAAGTGTAACTTCTTCTTCCTGAAAATGAAACTGAAACGGAGGCTAGGTAGGACAAATTGTGTTGTGTTTTTATTTCGTGAAATGAAAGATGTTCACTATAATTTACACAAGTGGTCTTGCCATTTATCTTCATACTTCCAGAATATACTCACCAAGATATTGCTGGAATATTTCTAAAAGCAGTGTAAAACTGAACTCATGTATAGATACCATATATACCATCCAAAAAGTAGGGATATGGATGGATATATATTACTTTTTTCATATGCATTGGCATTGGCTAGGGAATATCCCCTACTTTTTTTTAATGGTATATATAAAATACATACACATAGAGAGAGAAAGAGAGATGGAGAGAGAAAGAAAGAGAGTGCGTGAGATAAAAATTGTATTTTCCTTTTAAGAGTTTGATGTAGGCTATATGCATCTCAACGAACAACAATACCCAGTAGTTTAAACTATGGAGAACAACTGATGACACCTGATTCGTTTCCATCAGGATTCACTTTAGATTCAGCTTCCACGACCACAGTTGTACTTATGTCTCTAAGTCCCTTGTTTAGCAATGGACCCTGTAAGTCTAATATACAGCTGCTTAGGGCCCTAGTTATCCCCTCTTACATTTGTCTGGATGTAACGACCTCATTCCTCCCTTGAAACAAATACTGCCACGACACTGTAGCTCACCTGGATATGAAATCAATATTTTAAAATGTCAACACAAACTTCTGTGGACACTGAATGTAAATATTTTCTGTAAAATATGGAGAATGAAAAACTAACACTAAATTCAACAGATTAAGCAAAAAGAATGATATCATCAAAAGAGGGACAATACATGAACAACTTCATCAGACTGACCTTTTAGAGAAGATTTTGACTGGGTCAAAAAAACACACTGAGAGAACTTTACAGTCTAAACTGTTACGAGAGTGTTTTTTGTAATTTGTAATAACATTGTTTAGGTGATAATAATTATGAGTCACGATGTTTAAAGTTTTGAGTGTTGGTTTGTGGGTCATATTTCGAGTCATATATGTTCAGTGGCAACAGTATTTTAGCGGCACGCCTTTATGATAGTGCTCCAGAGTTACCTCCCTTGACCGGATGTTTATGTGTTGACATCGTCATGTCATATGTTCAACATGTTTCGAGAAAGATCTAAGTGGTTAATGATACAGTCATGCTTTGCTGGAAAGTTCAAGAATCTGTGTCAGTATATATAAAGGCTGGCTGTTGTGTGGTGCGAGACAAAGGACTGACACATGGACTAACACACGGAATTACACGGGACTTTCGATATCACTAGAGTTGCCTATCGTTGTTTGCCTCGGCTTCGTCCTTCGTCACATCGCCATGGTCTGACCCTGACACTTCGTGCCTGACTGCTTTCATTTGTAAACAAGCTCCATTTATAATATCTGATCTCACTGTGATTACCAGGACTCTGGTGAGTTCATATTTTATATATGTGACCCATTACTTTAGATTTGTGACTCAATTGCATTGTATTAGAAATCTGCATTGTGATTCATTGTAGCTTGCTCATTGTTTGCTCAATATATTATTGAATATTTTAGACTTGTCTGTGGTATATTTTGCTGGTTCAAAGGGGGATTCTTAAACCTTTTGTCACAGCAATTATTTAACCGTAACAACATAAATTAAGAACAAGATAAAAAATTTGAATATTACAGAAAAAAGGAGTGCCAGTTTTCTCTATAACAAGCATTGACCTTGAAATGAAGGTCAAGGTCAAATTGACTGGGACCTTTCTTTTACTGTGATGAAGCTAGATACCAAATATGAAAAGAATCAAGTCAACGGTTCTTAAGATATTCCAATTCTTAACGGACAGACAGACGGATGGAGCCTAATACTATATCCCCCGCTTCGAGCTAAATGTGTATTTCGTGCTAAATGAACTCATTTCAACTGAAATGGCTGAGTAATAGCCACTAAATGGTTTGTCAACATGGCTGCTTTTGCTGCCAATCTGATCGGTAAGTGTAGATATATTTACTCCTGTATTCCTGGTAAGTGTAGATTTATTTACCTCTGTATTCCTGGTAAGTGTAGATTTATTTACCTCTGTATTCCTGGTAAGTGTAGATTTATTTACCTCTGTATTCCTGGTAAGTGTAGATTTATTTACCTCTGTATTCCTGGTACATGTAGATATATTTACCTCTGTATTCCTGGTAAGTGTAGATATATTTACCTCTGTATTCCTGGTACATGTAGATTTATTTACCTCTGTATTCCTGGTACATGTAGATATATTTACCTCTGTATTCCTGGTACATGTAGATTTATTTACCTCTGTATTCCTGGTAAGTGTAGATATATTTACCTCTGTATTCCTGGTACATGTAGATTTATTTACCTCTGTATTCCTGGTAAGTGTAGATATATTTACCTCTGTATTCCTGGTAAGTGTAGATATATTTACCTCTGTATTCCTGGTAAGTGTAGATTTATTTACCTCTGTATTCCAGGTAAGTGTAGATATATTTACCTCTGTATTCCTGGTAAAGTGTGGATTTATTTACCTCTGTATTCCAGGTAAGTGTAGATATATTTACCTCTGTATTCCTGGTACATAGATATATTTACCTCTGTATTCCTGGAAGTGTAGATTTATTTACCTCTGTATATTCCTGGTAAGTGTAGATTTATTTACTGTATTCCTGGTACATGTAGTATTTACCTCTGTATTCCTGGTAAGTGTAGATTTATTTACCTCTGTATTCCAGGTAAAGTGTAGATTTATTTACCTCTGTATTCCAGGTAAGTGTAGATTTATTTACCTCTGTATTCCTGGTATTCCTGGTAAGTATAGATTTATTTACCTCTGTATTCCTGGTAAGTGTAGATTTATTTACCTCTGTATTCCTGGTAAGTATAGATTTATTTACCTCTGTATTCCTGGTAAGTATAGATTTATTTACCTCTGTATTCCTGGTAAGTATAGATTTATTTACCTCTGTATTCCCTGGTAAGTATAGATTTATTTACCTCTGTATTCCTGGTAAGTATAGATTTATTTTACCTCTGTATTCCTGGTAAGTGTAGATTTATTTACCTCTGTATTCCTGGTAAGTGTGGATGTATTTACCTCTGTATTCCTGGTAAGTGTAGATTTATTTACCTCTGTATTCCTGGAAGTGTAGATTTATTTACCTCTGTATTCCTGGTAAGTATAGATTTATTTACCTCTGTATTCCTGGTAAGTATAGATTTATTTACCTCTGTATTCCTGGTAAGTATAGATTTATTTACCTCTGTATTCCTGGTAAGTATAGATTTATTTACCTCTGTATTCCCGGTAAGTATAGATTTATTTACCTCTGTATTCCTGGTAAGTGTGGATGTATTTCCCTCTAGATTCCAGTCCTAGTAAGAAGACTCCGGGATCAGAACACACATTGTTGTTCCGCCTAGAACAAAAGATCATCACTACATTAGCTATTGAATTCTGAAGCAGACTTTCATATATTTCTTTGGCAAAAGTCATGCTATGTTGTATCCATAGCAACAAAGCTTTTAACTCACGATATGAAAGCACTGGACAGGGATCCTCCTGCGTTGATGAAGAACTGCATCGTCCAGGACCTATAGGTCTGGTTGCCATAGAAATATGGAGTAGTCTTCACCCGATGCCAGGTGCCGAGAAACTGGTACATCAACATAAACATCAGGATTAACATCAACATCAAGGTCACATTCAACATCAGCGTCAACAATACCAACAACATCAACATCACAATCAACATCATCATCATCATCATCATCATCAGGATCAACATCAGCATGAGCATCTGGATCAGCAAATATCATATCACATAACTATCACCATCACTATCACCAGCACCGTCATCAACTAGCTCAGAATACCACTTTGCCCCAGCTTTGCCCCCTTCCATGTTAAACAACTTTGCCCCTCAGAACAGAACATCATCGCACAATTATGAGAAAGCCCAATTATTCCCTAGACTCTGTACTCTGTATTATTCCCTGGTATGTAGGCTACAAAGAACGGCTAAGTAGATACTTTCATCGGGTCTCACATGACTTCCTTATTTATCCCTAATTGATTTCTGATAATGAGAATTGTCCGTAGTGATTGAGGGGAAGTAACTACATTTACTGGTCCCCCGAGTCCTGCCTTGCAGACAAGCTGATCACGTCTCAGGACGGGAACCTCTATAATCTGGCCACTCTGACTTGACTTGGAGTGATCAGACTCTACTCAGACACTGATCAGATTCAGTTAACAGGTGGATAAAACTGCCACTTCACAGATTATGAGAATGCTCACACAAATTGCATTCAAACAGAATTCTCTTCACTCTAACAAATTGTCAGTCTGTCAAACAGACCCTGAAAACATACCCACCCATGAAGATCTGGGTAGGAATTGGTCTTCAGTAAGCCATGCTTGTCGTAAGAGGCAACTAACAGGTTTGGGTGGTCAGGCTTGCTGACTTGGTTGACACATGTCATTGTATCCCAATTGCGTAGATTGATGCTTATGCTGTTGATCACTGGATTGTCTGGTCAAGACTTGATTATTTACAGACCGCCGCCATATAGCTGGAATATTGCTGAGCGTGGCGTTAAACTAAACTCACTCACTGAAAATACCCAATACAGTCCATGCAAGTATAGAATTATTGCGTGCCATATTTATCTTTCTTCCGTTAGGGCTGTCGCGTCTTCACTGCAAGTGTCCGGTTATTTATCCTCATGTCCATTCGTGTCCTCTCCATTTCCTCCGTCCATTTCGGTGTAGGCTCCCTCCATCTTCACTGTCGGTCTCCACTCGGTCCCTGTGCATCCTATTCGGCCTCCTCTTCCATGCCGGCTCCGTTTCGTTTCCTGTTCCGTGCTTTCCTGTGCCCATCTTCCTGTATTTTCCGTGTTTCCTTCCGTGTTTCCACTATTTTTCGTGTTTCTTCCTTCCGTGCTGCTCTTTCCTTCCGTGTTTCCATCCTTTTCCTGTCCTTTCCTCCTTCCGTGTGCTGCTCCACCTGGTGCTGCTCCACCTGTGTCCATCCTTTCTGTGTCTCCTGTGCTGTCTTTCTCCACATGCGTGCTCCATGTCCACCCTTTCCTGGGTCTGTCTGGGTTGATCCACCACCTGTGGTCCACCACCTGTGCTGGTGGTCACCACCTGTGCCTGGGGTTGGTCCATCCATATTTTGATCCACCACCCTGTGTGCACAGGGTGTGCCTGGGGTCGGTCCTGGGATTGACCCACCTGTGCCTGGGATGATGTCCACCTGGGATGATCATGAGGTTGTTCATTTGCCCACTTGCTGGGATTCTTCACCTGTGCCTGGGTATTGTTCTGTGCAGACTGACTACACCTGTGCCTCAGGGATTTTGTCCACCACCTGTTTCATTTGTGTCCACCCACCTGTGCACAAGTTGGCTCTTCCACCTATTTTAAGTGTTCTTCACATACCTGTTTTTGGTGTTCCATCCTCACCTTATTTTCCGTTGTCCATTTCTTTTGTCTTCCTTCCTTTTTGTGTGGCTCCTTCTTTTGTCCACCACCTTTTCCGTATTTCTTCCTTTTCTTCGTGTTTCTTCACACCCACTATTTTCCGTGTTCCATCACCTGTGTTCTTCTACCTATTTTCCGTGTGTTCCTTCCTGTATTTCTTTCCACCTACCTGTTTTCCGTGTCCATCCACCCTGTTTCCTCCACCTGTGCTGTCTTCGTGCTATTTTCCGTGTCCATCCACTGGTCTTTCTGGTCTTCCTCCTGTGCCTGGGTCCTGGTCTTTCTCCACCTGTCTTTTCCTGCTGGGATGGCTCCACCACCTGTGCTGTTCCTTCCTGTCTTCCTGTCTTTCTTCCTGTAGGTCTTCCTGTGGTGTGTCTTTCTTGTGTTCCTGTCTTCCTGTGTCTGGGGTCTTTCTTCCATTCACCTACCTGTTGCTGGGTCCTGGGATGTGTGCCTGGGATGGATTGATGTTGGATGGGGATTGGGATTGATGGGATGGGAGGATGGGATTCCTTGGGGATCGACGACTGCTGGGATTGACTGCATTCGGTTGACCGTCTTGCCTTGAGGTTGCTTGTTGCGGGGATTGACATTTGCCTTGGGATGGGCTTCTTGCCTCTGGGGATGACAGTCCTTGGGGATTGACATTCCTCAACAAGGTAACAACTACACCCACCTGTACACAAGGTAACAACTACACCCACCTGTACACAAGGTAACCATCACACCCACCTGTACACAAGGTAACAACTACACCCACCTGTGCACAAGGTAACCATCACACCCACCTGTACACAAGGTAACAACCTGTACACAAGGTAACCACTACACTCACCTGTACACAAGGTAACCATCACACCCACCTGTACACAAGGTAACCATCACACCCACCTGTACACACGGTAACAACTACTGGCACTAATGGTAACCTGTGTAAACTTACATCATAAACATTGAAATCTTCCTGCACATGACTGCGAGCCTGGTCACAATGGCTGGTAGCTGCATCTGTAAAGAAAATAATGTTCAGGGTAAGAATATAATAATGTTAACATACATTCAATATACTATTGACCACCCATTTAATGATTACAGAATGCCATTTAGAAAGTGGTCAAATGCAAAGTGTGTTATATCTGGGATTACACTTTCTTAGTAAAGTACAAATTCTAGTACTTTTGGGGGCTGTGTCCTGTCCCGTTGAACCCATTGAGAGTGTGGGATAGAATCCCGGATGGGACTCAACCCAAAAAAGTACTAGAATTTGTACTTTACTAGAAAGTGTAATTCCAGATATAACACACGTTGCACCCAATTAATATACAGAGGCCTAGGATTATATCTTAGTCAGCTCTTCAAAACAAACAATAATTTCATTTATTACTACAAGCCAGACAGTATGTCAGGACATCTGGTATATATTGTGATCATTCTAAACTCAGGGGGCAAAAGAAAGTATAGGTCATTTTGAGGATCAGTAAAACAGAAACAACACAAGATTTGGATTATGTAATAGATGTAATTTGTAGCAATTTCATTTGCACTTTGCTGTGTGTACACATCATCACCTGGTTGAAAGAACTGAAAGGTGACATTGGCATTCAAACAGTCAGGGGGTAAATATCAAAGTTACAATGATATTCATTGACGAATTGCGCACATAAAAGACGGAAAAGTTTGTTCCAGAATGATCACAACGTCAGTAGCGTGTGTGTCCGCCAGCAGCCTCGATGCACGCTCGTGCACGTCGTCGCATCGAGGACGTCAAGCGTCGGATGACGTCAATTGGCAGTCGCTGCCAATCGTCCCTCAGTGCCACATCAAACTCTTGTCTTGTCTGTGGAGGGTGATGACGACCACAAATGCTCGATCGGATTCATATCTGGTGATCGAGAAGGCCAGGGTAGAACATTAACGTTATTCTGATTAAGAAAGTTTCTCGTCGCTATTGCTGTATGGGGAGTTGCTGGTTGATTGTTCAAGACACGTAAGACAACAGGCTGCAAGACTTGATTTCGATTCTCTTTAACATTGACATTCCTCTGAATAACGACCAAGGGTGTTGTTTGGTCGCCAATAATGCCACCCCATACCATCACACCACCTCCACCATAGGCATGGACTTCGTGAATGCATGCTGCTGCAAAACATTCACGCCGTCGCCTGTAAACTCTCTGTCGGCCGTCATTTTTGTGCAGACAAAACCGACTTTCATCGGTGAAGAGGACCCTACACCAATCACGCACTTGCCAGTGGTATACCCGTCTTGCCTATTGCAGTCTTTCAAGTCGATGTTCCACGGAATGGTCGATGGCAAAGTATTCCACCTGCTCTAAAACGTCTGAGGACAGTCCTTCAACTGATGCGACGTCCCAACGCTGTTTCGGCCTGTCCTGTGTTCGACCTGTCTGTCTGAATCGTTGGAGGAGTCTTGCTATCGTCAGTGGCCTACAACCAAATCTTCTTGCAATTCTGATGTTCGTCGCTCACATATGGGACATCCCTATGGCCCTCTCTCTCTGTTCTGGCGTCAGTCATGGCATACTTTTCATGTGTTTTCAGCAGCTGTGATATGACGGGACCGATGCATCACATTTATACCGAAACTTTGCACGTGCATTATGTGCTAGGAGCATGGAACATGCTTTCCATATTTGTGACGTCATCACTCTCACCGTTCGAACGTGTTGCGTTTTGCGGTGTATTTCCCTTCCCAGTAGTGGGGCCAACATTGCCAGCATGTCTAATTCTCATAACCATGTCAATGACAGTGGAAAAATAATTTTTCCAGTCCTATACTTTCTTTGGCCCATGAGTTTAGTTTTGTGTAAAACTTCATAACATATTCTTAGTCCATCTAGTGAGACTATTTTCACTTTTGTGCATTTAAATTCAATAGTTTTGCATCTGTTGTCAACTACTGCCGTAGTATATGATAGCATTAAACCAACTTCTGGGCTTGATAATTATGTTAACCAAAATAACAGAAATGAATAAATTATTGTCAACTATGTAAAAATCTGCAATTTGTTTCCCTGTTGTGGGGTAGCCTAGTGATTAAAGCCTTTACTCATCACACCCAAGAGCCATGTTCAAATTGCCACAAGGATACATTGTGTGAAGCCCATTTCAGTTTTCCCCTGCCATGATATTGTTGGAATATTGCAAAAACAGCGTAAAACCCAACTCATTCACTGATCTTAAATACGGATTCTAAAAAAAATCCCGGGTTTCACTAGAATTGTAGAAAGGCTTGTGCAACATTAGATTTGACACCAACCAACAAGTGTGGTAGAATGGTATGTCAGTAGAGGCTGGAGTGAGTGAGTGAGTTGGGTTTAACACCAAATTTCAGTTATATCACAGCATGTGCAACGTCTGAGGATGTAAACCCAAAAGTGATGCAGATGTTTACCACTTCGTTGAAATACTATAAAATGGTGCTGACAAACCCATAAACAATCAGGGATTCAAACCTATTATTGTAGACCTCTAGGGGACACAATGCAGATTGTACACACTTGACAACTAACCGCCTCCGTGGTGTAGTGGTTAGAGCGTCCGCCCGGAGAGCGGAAGGTCGCCGATGGTTCAATCCCGACCAAGCGTCAGTTAAAAGATGGTACTTGTTGGTCCTGCCTGGCGCTCGGCATTAATGGGTACAACAAGGACTGGTCGGCTTGGAGTCAGTATAATGTGTCTGAGTGGGATATTCATGCTTCACTGCGGCATGGTATCTCAGTGGGCTAGCACTATAAAACCAGCTTCAGTCTGGGCTAGTACAAGCAGCTGCACATACACATACATGCATGCAGCCATATGAGCAAAATATTCTCAAGCACGACATAAACCCAATTTCACTCTCACTCATGCAACTGGGTCATGAATGTCATGGGAGAATGCTAACTCCAGTGAAGAAGATCTGGTTTTGGGATCATGTGAGTGAATACTGAATACTGTTGAATAAAGATGGTGAAAACTTAGCCTTCCATCAAATATACTGTTCCTTCAGAAGAGCCGTTATAATGTTTTGACATTTACTTACCCATGGAGTGAGTGAGTGAGTGAGTAGGACTGAGTGGAGCTGTGTGTGAGTGGACCAGAGGAGTGGATCCAGTGAGTGAGTGAGTGATAACCACTAGGTGAGTGAGACTCTGAGTGAGTGAAGTGAGTGAGTGAGTGATAACGAAGGTGAGTGAGTGAGTGAGTCAGGAGTGAGTGAGTGAGTGAGTAATGAGAGGAGTGAGTAAGTGAGTGAGTGAGTTTATGCATTGAACCGAACCGGTTTCATTTTAGTAATATTCCCACAATATCACCACGGGGGACACCAGAAATGGGCTTCACACATTGTACCCATGTGAGGAATCAAACCTGAGTCTTCAGCGTGACAAGCAAATGCTTTAACCACTAGGCTACCCCACCACCCCTGTTTGCTACAGAAGACCTTATAACATTAAAGACTCTAAAGGATTTAGGCTGCCATTGTGTATTACCATCATCTGCATAGCCCACGGACTCCAGGAAGTTCTCGGGGAAGGCACACAGACCTGGGGACAGACAAAATATAAGATACAGCCTTGTACCTCAGTACCATCCCACTTCAAAATGCATCCAACAACTATGAACAAGCTAATATGTTTATGTGTTATTATCCACAACATTCTGCAGCAATTCCTGTATTGTAATATCATCCATAGATTTGCAGAAGTGAAGAGGGTGTGTACATGAGATTTCAGATACAATGGCAGGGATAGAAATACTTTTTTTTCTAAGTGTGCCTTAGGGCACCAGACAAATATTCTAGGTGTGTCTTTCAGAAATCGAGTATGCCCACATGTTTTTAGAATAAATGACAATGATGATGATCATTTATAATTTATTGTTAAATAAAGAAATCGGTTTATGAGCATTCAAATATGTATGGTATTATTCAATTTGGAAAAAATAATTGTTTGGGGGATTAAATGACTAAATGTGAGTTATGTCTCTAAAACATTAGGCGTGTCAAAAGGGCACAGAGAACATTTTTTAGCCGTGCCATTTCAATATTTACCGTGCCATGGCACACAAATATATGGGGTATTTCAAACCCTGAATGGTAATATAAATCCTGTACACACAGGGGTGGAAACAACCCATTGCCCGACATCTGAGGCCAGTGTTTTTTTGTGTCGGGCAAGCAAATTTGTATATCACACTGTACCGGTGTCCAGTTGACTTTCCAATGTTCATTATGTTGTATATTTTAAAAATCAACAACAAAACGGTCGGTATAGTGGAAAAATTATCAGGGCAAGTGATTTTACATGTGCCACTGTTCCGGAGTACACTAGCAATTTTAAAGTTATTTCCACCCCTGACACATTATTTTATCCACTCATCCGCTCTCAGCCCAATACACACATTGTCACATACTCACACCACCCCTCAACCACATCCAAACCCACACATCTACTCCGTCACCCAGCCGTCACATCCACGCTCTGACTCACCTGGTGTAGTTTCAATCATGTCCTCAACATCAAGACAAAGATCAGACACAATCTGCTCCAGTTCGGCCATCTTTGATTCAGGGATTGGAAAGTTCTTCGTGATAATTTCTACATGCAGGTTTTCCTTGTGGCAATGGCCGCTGTCATCCACCTCCCGACACATAAAAAACACAGCATTTGTGTAGTCTGTGTACACAAACTGGAACAGTTCTGAAAAAAATTGTTAAAAACAACATTCATTATCATTAGTGAGTGGTAATAGACGTATCTCTATATTCCTGCAAAGTATGGACTTATTTATTCCCTCATTCCCTGCAAGTGTAGACAAACTTACCTATTTCTCTGGAACATGTAGATACACTAACCTCTGTTTGCAGAAAGATATTTCCCAGGCTGTTCCTCCTCTGCCAGCACATGGACTCCGGGATCAGCACATGTATCAGCATTCTTCCTGGAAAGTCAGGAACACTGATGAACTAAAGTATGTCTTTACATCTTCTTATATCCTGTACAAGAATAACCACCTTCTTACATCCTGTCCAAGACCAACCACCCATCTCACATCCTGTTTAAGACTACCCTTATTGCATAGTCCCAAGCACTTATATCACTTTTCTAATATTGTCACCATAATTCTAAGAACAAGTGTAAAGAGTAAACTTACATGACAACACTAAGAAACAAAACTAAAGTAATGTCGGAAATAGAAAAAAACTGTTTTTAGGCTGTTACTCTGTATCCCTAAAATTTACACAATTGCAAATAGCATATGTTGAAATAACCCACATCGGTCTATCTGGGCGTTCAGTGGGATGTGTAATAGGATATCCAGAAAAGCATGTTTACTTTTAAAATCGGGCAAACCTTAGAAAAAATGCGAACAGCTGCTCAAAACAATAGATCAGACTATAGATGGCAATTAGGTCGCTCAGCCAGGTATGACGACAGACCATCGACTCACCTGGCATGAAATGCACATACTGCCCACAGACACAAGGGGCCATTTCAAATATTTTGTATGCCTTTGCATGTGTATTGAATATGTCTCTACTGATTATCAGATTTTAGCTAATATCTCTATCCCCAAGTCCGACCCCAACTACCATCAGCAACACCCGTCTTGGTTTTGCTTTTGAGACGACCCCTCCTTCCTGTTTCTTTATACAGTGATAGTGAGACTCCATGGTATCTACATCCTTAATAGTTTCAGTATTAAAGTTGTTATTTTTTACGTCTGCTATCGTTTATTATGAAGCTAAGTCTAATTTCAAAATGGACATTCAAAAAGTGTCATTTGTTATACAATATCATCGCACACTAATTTGCATAAAGCCATGGTCTGCTCCAAATAAGTCTCTTCGGACTTTGAAAAAAAACTGCATTGCTCATTTCTGCACTAATATCTCCTCAGTAAAATCCTTTATTACGTTTCCTATCTCCCTACGACTGAGGCTGTAGTTAGGCCGAACTTAGTTCAACAGATATTTCACACTTTCACATATTAACTACCTTTGCTGCCGAACACTACAGGGAACACAACAAAACAATGCTTCAGATCAAAGCTTCTAAACACTACAGAACAGTGCACTACAGAACAACACTATAGTACATTACCCAAGAACAATGCTACAGAATAACACTACAAATAAATGCTACCAGAAAACATTTCAAGACAATAATAAAGAACAATACTAAAGAACAGTACTAAAGGACAATACTAAAGGACAATACTAAGGAACAATACTAAAAAAACAATACTAAAGAACAATACTAAAGGACAATACTAAAGAACAATACTAAAGAACAATACCAAAGGACAATACTAAAGAACAATACTAAAGGACAATACCAAAGGACAATACTAAAGAACAATACTAAAGGATAACACTAAATAACTATGGTACTTACGACTTTCCACGGTAAGCACTTGAAAGGTGTCCGTCTGTATTGATAAAATACTTCACTGTTTCAGAGATATATGTTTTGTTGCCGTAAAGGTAGGATATGACCTTCACCCTCTGCCAGTCTCCCAGTATCTGTGGGATATTACATAATATCATCAGGAAGTGACCCCCTCTCTTTAGTAGATACAGGGGGCATTGGGGTAGCCCATGGGTTAAAGCGTTCGCTCGTCCCGGGTTCGATTCCTCACATGGATACAATGTGTGATTTCCTGTATGCCCACCATGATATTGCTGGAATCTTGCTAAAAGTTGCGTAAAACAAAACTAACTAAACTAATTAGTAGATACAGGAGAGTTTCTGCTCACAAACAACATCAGCAGTGACACTTGGATGTCCAGTTACCATAGTAACCTAATGTCATCATAGTGCCTATTGCCTTGAAATTGTACTGGGCTCATACAGATTATCAAATTTAAAGCCTTTTAAGGGACTTTTCAAGGCCCAATCAACAATTTGAAGGAAACACATATAACACACAAGTAGTTGAAGGTGAGGTGAGGTGAGGTGAGGTAGAATTGGGTTTAACGTCGTACTTGAGAATATTTCGCTCATATGACAACGTGCATGCGTGTGTACGTGTATGTGCGGCTGCTTGTACTAGCCCAGACTGAAGCTGGTTTTATAGTGCTAGCCCACTGAGATACCATGCCGCAATGAAGCATGAATACCCCACTCAGACACATTATACTGACTCCAAGCCGACCAGTCCTTGTTGTACCCATTAATGCCGAGCGCCAGGCAGGGACCAACAAGTACCATATTTTAACGTCTTTTGGTATGACGCGGTCGGGGATTGAACCCACGACCTTCCGCTCTCCGGGCGGATGCTCTAACCACTACACCACGGAGGCGGTCCATAAGTAGTTGAAAGCAGAAAAGGTCAGGCAAATGTGGGACCTGACCACCAGAGGAAAATAACTCTTAACTACATCACTTAACTGGGAAATTTTTGCTTTGCGGTGAAGATTAATTAACACCCACTTTCATTGTAAGGTATTTCTATTATGTATTAGTGTCCCATAAAATCATAACTAGACAAGTTTTGCTAAATATAGGGCCTCTTTAGAGCAAACCACTGGCAATCTTGGCCTTTTCAAGGCTAAAACAAATTTCGGTCCTTTTTAGGGTAAAATCTCTAAATTTCAGGCTTTTTCCTATACCCTGTTGTCATATGGCAAAGTGAGTAAGTGAGTGAGTGAGTCTAGCTTTATGCAGCACTCAGCAATATTCCAGCTATGTGGCGGCAGTCTGTAAATAATCGAGTCTGAACCAGACAATACAGTGATCAACAGCATGAGCATCAATCTACGCAAATGGGAACCGATGACATATGTCAACCTGGTCAGTGAGCCTGACCGCCCGATCCTGTTAGTGGCCTCTTACGACAAGCATGGGCTACTGAAGATCAATTTTAACCCGGATCTTCACAGGTTGTCATACAGCAAAGAGTGACATGGTTGTGTGTTATTTAATACTATAGGAAAATTCCAGCTTCACTACTAAATAGGGCTGCGCAATATAACTGGTTTACCGGTATTTACCGGTTCACACATGAAAACGATACGTATTGCGATACGCTGATCGAAAACCGGTATTCTGACTTGCATTTGGAAAACTTCGTAACACTCGGAAATCTTCGGATATTTCCTTGTTTCATTTGTGCGAAATATTATTCACATTTTTATTTCATCATGATTAAAAGTTGTTATTAAAGCTTAAACAAGCCTAGTGATTTTGCTGTGTTTTTGCTCTATAAATCAAGCATTAACTCGATTATAAGTAGTTTTTTGTTTGAAAATACTTCATGCAATATATTGCAATACATGCTTTCGCATCGCAATATATCGCAATATGAAAATTCTATGCAATACCCACCCCTACTACTAAAAGAGTCTGAACAAACAACACTTGATTCTTGCATATTACCATATTACCATAGTTGAATTCCTTATGTTATAAACACATAATAATGTGCTTTATCATCTCCAATCACTGTACACTGAAAACATTTAGCATCTACATCTTCAAGACAGTAATTAAACAGACAACAGTCTTGTATGTATGGCAGATTAACTTCAGAAATGTGCAAGAACAGAGTGTTCTTTTACTTTTGCATGGTCAATATAAACCTGAAGGCTGACATATTAGACATGCTTTTGGAATAAACATTTGAGATTTTTGTTTGCTCCCAGGTTTTACTTTTCGTGAAGAAAGACCTATTTCCGGTTTTACTTTTCAGTAAGAACAGACCTATTTCCGGTTTTACTTTTTGTAAGTTAAGACCTCTTCCCAATGACTTTTTCCTAACTCTATATTAACATCAACATTCAAATTCAGATGATATGTTAGTGTTTGAAATCAATTGAAAAATATCGTCAAAGATCAACTTAAATGTGCAAATGTTTTCCCTAGCGATTGGAAAATATATTTCAGATTATGTCTTACTTCTCCCCAACAGTCTCGAGGGTCTTACTTTCCCAACCATAAGTATGGGTGCTTTATCCTACACGTAACACAGAAGCCTGTAGATAAGCTGTAATGGCGCACAATCAACCAACAGCTTGATTACCCAGTTCAGAGGCATACTCGAGAAAATGAAAATGTAAACAGCGGTTTATACAGTGAAACCTGTCCTAAACCGGCACCCCACAGGACTGAAATAAAATGTCGATTTAGACAGGGTGCCGGACTAGACAGTGACGATCATTTTCCAACATGGCTGCCATTTACACTCATCAATCTCTTTATTTCTGTAATACCTTTGATAAAAAAATTTTTTGAACAAGTGTTAACTCCCAACGTGCCTGCTTAGCTATCTAGCCATTGCTTCACCAAGCAATCACTACTTCCTGATTATCTAGCGTGCCAAGACGATTAATTAGCGTATTGGATTATGGGTCCTTGATTGGGCTGCTCATATCTATGCCGGTTTAGACAGTGTTAATAACAGTTAAGACCGGAGAGTCGTGCCAGAATACTGAATAGACAGGTGCCGCATTAGACAATGTTTTAATGATTATAATATCGTTGTAAAATGGCGGGACCAAAATTTTATGCCGGTTTTGACAGTGTGCCAGATTAGACAGGTGATGTTGTGGGCAGGTTTCACTGTATATGAAATCTACTTTCAATCCTCATCACAGGCCAAAAGAGGGACATCACAATGATATCCCCACCATGTTCTGGACAACACATTGTAAGTTAGTAAGTGTAGAACAGTTTGATATTTAAATGCTGATACTACCTCTCCAGAACCTACAATCATGTGATGGTATAAACTTGATATTGATATTACCTTTTCATAATCTACAATCACGTAATGGTATAACCCTGATATTACCCTTATATAACCTACAATCATAAATGGGTATAACACTGATATTACCATGTGGGGAATAGAACCCAATCATGTGATGGTATAAACTTGATATTGATATTACCTTTTCATAATCTACAATCACGTAATGGTATAACCCTGATATTACCCTTATATAACCTACAATCATGTGATGGTATAACCCTGATATTACCTTTTAATAGCCTACAATCATGTGATGGTATAACCCTGATATTACCTTTATATAACCTACAATCATAAGATGGTATAACCCTGATATTACCTTTAATAACCTACAATCATGTGATGGTATAACCCTGATATTACCTTTTAATAACCTACAATCATAAGATGGTATAACCCTGATATTAGGCTTATATAACCTACAATCATAAGATGGTATAACCCTGATATTACCTTTTAATAACCTACAATCATGTACAAGTAATTGTATATCCCTGAAATTACCTTTTCATAACCTACAATCATGTGATGTATAACCCAGATATTGTCTGTATAACCTACCATCATATGACGGTATTACCCTGATATTAGTTTTTTATAACCTACAATCACATGATGGTATTGCCTTTTGATATTGTTTTACCCTCTCTGTAATCTACAATCATGAGACAACATAATTCCAATACTGCACATGCCTCTAAAAATTGCAACCATATGATGTTATAACCCTGATAACGCCTCTCCACATAGCTATAACCTACAATAATGTAAAGTTACGACAGTTTCAGAAACCTGAATCATATGGTCTTAAATCCCTGATACAGTCTCTCTATACACATATAACCTACCATCAAGTGATGTTATAACCCTCTCATAACCTGCAACGATGTGATACCGTTTCTCTATGACATGCAAAAGACTTTCATTTCGATAAAACCCGAACCAGTCTCAGAGGCAGGGGAATGATTTAATGTCTCAAGCACTCTTCATGTTTATTTTGCAGTTGAGAGATTTCATGATATTGAATGAGAATCCATGCTCCCGGCAAGAGAAGTTTATAGCTAGTCCTTAGGGAAACAGTTTCCATGTCAGTTGATGCATATTCAATCCTGACACAGGATCAACATCAATTCGAAAAGGAGGCTTCCTCTTACAGCTTGTTTAATGTCACATGTTCCAATTCAATGTAGGGTTATGTCCTTGTAAGTCAATTAGAAAAGTCTTTTGAAATCGCTATGACAAACAAGTGTTGAAGCCTTGGTGCCAATTTTGAGTATTAAAGGAGGGCTTCGTGTGATCCTCAATCGAAGTCACATGACCTGTATGTAATCAAGGAAAGACATGTTCTAGGAGCTCTTGATATTTTTTTAGGTGGATCCTTTTTTCCCAGTCTTTCAAAAGAGACAAGCAATTTTTTTACCTTCTCTGAGAAACAAATTTCTTTTTCTAAAAAAAGACATCAAGCTTTATCAAGGTGCTCACTGGGCAATTTTTTTTGCTTCATGTTGGTTGGTTACACCGCACTCAGCAATATTCCAGCTATATGGCAGCGATCTGTAAATAATCGAATCTGGACCAGACAATCCTGTGATCAACAACATCGATCATCGATCGATTGAGCATTGATATACGAAATTGGGATAAAATGACATGTGTCAACCAAATCAGCGAACCTGGCCAGCCGATCCTGTTAGTCGCCTCTTACAACAAGCATGGGTTACTGAAGACCAATTCTAACTCGGATCTTCAGAGGTCTTTTAGGCTTGAAAGAAACAAGATAATATGCACAAGCAGACCATATTCCAAAAGAATCTTCAAACTTTTCTACCTTTGAAAACAATTACCTTATTCTTCGTGTGTACAAAAGAGTGAGTGAGTTTTGTTTTACACCGCTTTTTGCATTATTCCAGCAATATCATGGCAGGGGACACCAGAAATGGGCTTAACACATTGTACCCATGTGAGGAATCGAACCTGGATCTTTTGGCTTGACGAGCAAAGTCTTTAACCACAAGGCTACCCCCACCGCCCCTGTAGAAATGAGACTTCTGTCAGTACAGAACAGTAATCAATATAGTCAAACTTCTACATCTCATGTTATAAATCAAATATTCAATCTATTGTTGGCAATAGTCAAATTTAACATATGTTATATCTGGGATTACACTTTCTTAGTAAAGTACAGATTCTAGTACTTTTGATGGTTGAGTCCCATCCGGGATTCGAACCCACACCCTCAGAGTCAGGCACCTAATCACCAGCACACAAAGTCAGACGCCTAGACCGCTCGTTACATTTGTCCACTTTCTAAATGGCATTGTTTATTTATTAGTCAAATTAATGAAATACTCAAAAGATTATTTCGTTATGTCTCGAGGGTCTAGCTTAATCATCATGGAAGTGGAGTTGACATTAACACACGCTTCTGAATCACTTTGAAGTGAATGAAAACCATGATGAATGATATTAAAGATTCTGTAACATGAATGTCAAATCAAAGATGATCAAAAAAAAGGCATAGTTATTTCAGAATCCAATTTCCATTAAACATATGTTAGTATTAAATTATGTAGTAATTGTTTACCATTTTCTCCTAAAGAATATCTTCTTCAAATGTTTATAGAATATTTTGGACATTTAGATTTCAAAAGTAAAATTTAAAGTGAGGTAATTAATAGCCAACATACAAGTCATAAAGCCATTCTGGGTTTACTTTGGATACTAAGTGACCTTGAACTCCTTGTGACCTTGTTGATTGTTGCCTGGTTACAGCAATGTCTCTCCTGGTTGCTTGAATTATTATCAACATGAGTATCGACCTGAGCAGAAGGGGTGAGTAGACTTACGCCAGAGACATTCAGTTCCTCCTGGACCCGAGCTCGAGCCTCACCACACTGGGCTGATGTTATCTCTGTCAAGAAAATGAAATCAAAGCTTTATAATCAATAGAAACACAGATGTTCACACTTTTCTATATAAAGCACCCATCAAACCAAGACAACCCACACATACTCACTGCTGTGTGTCAAACACAGCATCTCTCTCTCTCCCTATCTCTATCTCTTTCTCTCTCGATCTCAATCCCACTCTCCCCTTCTATCTCTCTCCTGATCTGTCTGTTCTCCAACCTACCCACCCAGTCCCAAAACACCCAGCCAGTCTCCTACCCCTCTTCCTCTCTCTCAATCTCTCAGAGATGATGGGGTAGCCTAGTGGTTAAAGCATCTGCTTGTCATGTTGAAGACCTGGGTTTGATTCCCCACATGGGTACAATGTGTGAGGCCCATTTCTGGTGTCCCCCGCCATGATATTGCTGGAATATTGACAGAAGTGGCGTAAAATCATTCTCATTCACTCACTCTCTCTCAATCTCTCCACACCCATCCCTCTTCTCTCTTAAGCTCTCCACACCTACACCTCTTCCTCTCTCTCAATCTCTCCACACCTACCCCTCTTCTCTCTTAAGCACTCCACACCCATCCCTCTTTCTTAATATCTCCACACCCATCCCTCTTCTTCTCTCTTAAGCTCTCCTTAAACTACCCCTCTCCCTGTCTCTCAGTCTCTCCACACCCATCCCTCTTCCTCTCTTAATATCTCCACTCATCCCTCTTCCTCTCTCTCAATCTCTCCACACCCATCTCTCTTCTTCTTTCTTAATCTCTCCAAACTCATCCCTCTTCTTCTCTCTTAAGCACTCCACACCCATCCCTCTTCCTCTTTCTTAATATCTCCACACCCATCCCTCTTCTTCTCTCTTAAGCTCTCCTTACTACCCCTCTCCCTGTCTCTCAATCTCTCCACACCTACCCCTCTTCCTCTCTCAATCTCTCCACACCTCCCCCTCTTCCTCTCACAATCTCACCACACCTACCCCTCCTCCTCTCTCTCAAACTCTCCACACCAATCTCTCTTCCTCTCTCCACACCCATCCCTCTTCCTCTCTCACAATCTCACCACACCTACCCCCCTCTTCCTCTCTCACAATCTCTCCACACCTACCTCTCTTCCTCTCTCAATCTCTCCACACCTACCCCTCTTCTTCTCACAATCTCACCACACCTACCCCTCCTTCTCTATCTTAATCTCTCCACACTCATCCCTCTTCCTCTCTCCACACCCATCCCTCTTCCTCTCTCTCAATCTCTCCACACCTACCCCTCCTCCTCTCTCTCAATCTCTCCACACCTACCCCACTTCCTCTCTCTCAATCTCTCTACACCCATCCCTCTTCCTCTCTCAATCTCACCACACCCATCCCTCTTGCTCTCTCTCTCTCTTGATCTCCTTCGATATCTGTTGCAATGAACAGTTGTATGGCCGAGTGTTCTACCAAGCCTTCATTGCCCCAGAGGGATCAGGGATGTAGAAGACATTACTCCAGCTGATTAGGGAGTATCACCAGCACTCAATGGCCACATCACTTCCGTCCGCTCTATTTCAAATTACTGTAAATCTAACCCAAGTCTGCCATTCAGCCATTGCAATGATGGACACCATATATTTAATGGCAGACAATGTCTTCTATTTCAGGGTCCTGATCCCTGAGGTGAACTTCTCAACAACTATCAGCTCTGTGTTAAGTATAGGAGAGGCAGTGGGGTAGCCTAGTGATTAAAGCGTTCACTTGGCACGCAGAAGGCCTGGGTTTGATTCCCCACATGGGTATAATGTGTGAAACCCATTTCTGATGTCCCCGGCTGTGATATTGCTGGAATATTGCTAAAAGCGGCATAAAGCTAAACTCACACACTCACTCACTAAAATATGGGAGTAATATTCATCTTAGTGAGAGACCTATCAGAGCCCTTTGTTAAAGCACTGGAGTTCTTTCTATTGTTGTACTACAACTATCAGAGCTCTATGCTACAGTATGAAGTAATATGAATCATAGTACTACAACTATCAGAGCTCTATGTTACAGTATGGAGTAATATGAATCATAGTGCTACAACTATCAGAGCTCTATGTTAAAGTATGGAGTAATATGAATCATAGTGCTACAACTATCAGAACCCTATGTTAATGTATGGGAGTTACATTCATCTGACGTACAAGTATCAGAGCCCTATGTTAAAGTATAGGAGATTTTTGTTTGTCTTAGTTCTACAACTAAGAGCTCTGTGGTAAACTGTTGTTGTTTTTTGTCTTTGTTTGTTGTTTAACACCGCACTCAGCAATATTCCAGCTATGGGTCTGCGATCTGTAAATAATCAAGTCTGGGCCAGACAATCCTGTTTTCAACAGCATGAGCATTGATCTAAGTGATTGGGATACAATGACCAAGTCAGCGAACCTGACAACCCCTAGACTCTTACAACAAGCATGGGTTGCTGAAGAAAAATTCCAACCAGGATCAGGTAAGGTATAGGAGTAACATTTATCTCAGTTATACAACTATTAGAGCTCTGTGCTTAAGCATGGAAGTAATGTCATATCTTTGGGCACCAAATATCAGAGCTCTGCATTAAAGCATAGAAGTATCTTACATCTTAAAGCTACAACAATCAAAGCTCTTGATTGAAGCATGTGAAGTATGCTAGCCGTAACGCTCAGATTGCATGTGGAATGGCAGTAAAGTTCAATGCGCTCGATAGCTGTTTTATTTCTAAGTATGATCATATTTTCACTAAGGATATAAAGTCGCACTTAACTCTGACAATTACTGACTATCTGATCCAGAGGGAATGGGGCAGAGTAATGCATTAATCCATTTACTCGGGAGATAAATTCCGTAATTCCCCAGGGCCATGGATGTTATTATCTGTTCAATTTCTCCTCACCAGTAAGCTGCACAGTTGCCCTTACTGTGCCCAGAGTGTTTTCAGCAACACATGAGTATCTCCCGAAGTCTTCCCGCTCGAGTTGGTCTACATGGAGTGTCAAGACACTGGTGGTGTCGTCCTTCTTCTGTCGTGTGAGTTTGTGTCTATGGTCGTTTCTCATGAAGCTTCCCATGTGTTCCCATTGGATAGCTGAGCTTGGATTGGCCTTGACCTCACACTTGAAGGTCACGGACTGACCTATGGCTTTCCTGACCTCTTCAGCATTGACACTGACCTCTGGAGAAACTAAAAAGAAGAGAGGAAGATACTGAACACCACTTACTTTGTTTCAGTACAGGCAGACCCTACATAGATTCCCCTTACATATCTGACACAGCCTTACAGAAACCACTGTATATAGCAACACCTTCACTAAGTCCCATCTACCATGATGGTATGATCCTTTTGAATTACAGTGTGTACAATGGGGCCACACTCTCACTGAGCCCTCCACCTGCCACCCTTCATAGATGGTGTGTTTCTATTGAATAACACCAAGCACACAGAAGCCACATCCACTTCCCCCTACTACACAGATAGCATGGTCTTGGTCAGTACTATTGAGTACAGTACAGCCACATCCTCACTAAGTCACCTCCCTGGCCTTTTCCAGAATACAAGACGAGATAAATTTAACTATAACAAGTGTTTGCCACTGATATGGCAATGTCCCCCGCCGCTAAAGAATGGAATATCTATATTTACTACCTTTTATTTTGGGGTCAAATACAAGAAATGACTGGTGTCAGCATTATCACCCGATGTAGGCTGTCAACATACTTGAAAACATTGGGTTCAATGTTTTATGAGATATCACCTCTAAAAAGGGGTCAAAGTATTGTGGTGACCTTGAAGATAAGGTCAAGGTCACCCAAATAAACTGGTGTCTGTGTAATACCCCAATGTAAACTGTCACCAAATTTGAAGACATTGGGTACAACAGTCCATGAGATATCGCGTTAACAAGAGTTTAAAGTGTGAAAAGTGTCGTGGTGACCTTGAACATAAGGTCAAGGTCACCCAAAATCAACTAGTGTCTGCATAATCCCCCAATGTATGCTGTCACCAAATTTGAAGACATTGGGTACAACAGTCCATGAAATATCGCGTTAACAAGAGTTAAGAGTGTTCAAAGTGTCGTGGTGACCTTGAAAATAAGGTCACCTAAATAAACTGGTGTCTGTGAAATCCCCCAATGTAGGCCGTCACCAAATTTGAAGACATTGGGTACAACAGTTCATCAGATATCGCGTTTACAAGAATCGGGACGTACGTACAGCCGTACGGACGCCGCTGAATACATAGTCCCCCGTTCCGCATTGCGGCAGGGGACAACAAGGCCAGAAGGAGACTTTTCGGTTGGAGGACTTGTTTAGAGTCAACGGTGGTCCTGACAAATAACTTTCCCTGTGAAAGGTGGTCCTAACAAGTGACTTTACCTGTGAAGGGTGGTCCTAACAAGTGACTTTACCTGTGAAGTGAGGTCCTATCAAGTGACTTTACCTGTAAATGGTGGTCCTAACAAGTGACTTTACCTGTGAAGGGTGGTCCTAACAAATGACTTTACCTGTGAAGAGTGGTCCTATCAAGTGACTTTACCTGTGAAGTGAGGTCCTATCAAGTGACTTTACCTGTAAATGGTGGTCCTGACAAGTGACTTTACCTGTAAATGGTGGTCCTGACAAGTGACTTTACCTGTAAATGGTGGTCCTGACAAGTGACTTTACCTGTGAATGGTGGTCCTGACAAGTGAGTGAGTGAGTTTAGTTTTATGCCGCACTCAGCAATATTCCAACTATATGGCAGTGGTCTGTAAATAATCAAGTCTGGGCGAGACAATACAGTGATCAACAGCATGAGCATCGACCTATGCAATTGGGAACCGATGACATGTGTCAACCAAGCCAGCGAGCCTGACCACTGGATCCTGTTAGTCACTTTCCCTGTGAAAGGTGGTCCTATCAAGTGACTTTACCTGTGAAAGGTGGGCCCCACAATTGACTTTCCCTGTCAAGGGTGGTCCTGATAATTGACTTTCCCTGTCAAGGGTGGTCCTGATAATTGACTTTCCCTGTCAAGGGTGGTCCTGATAATTGACTTTCCCTGTCAAGGGTGGTCCTGATAATTGACTTTCCCTGTCAAGGGTGGTCCTGATGATTGACTTTCCCTGTCAAGGGTGGTCCTGATGATTGACTTTCCCTGTCAAGGGTGGTCCTGATAATTGACTTTCCCTGTCAAGGGTGGTCCTGATAATTGACTTTCCCTGTCAAGGGTGGTCCTGATAATGGACTTTCCCTGTCAAGGGTGGTCCTGATAATTGACTTTCCCTCAGAAGGGTGGTCCTAACAACTAACAATCCCAGGTAGTCCCAACACTTACAGTTTACATCAAGGTAGAACGTATGGCTTGCATCTGGCAGGATGCCATTGTGAGCAAGACAAACATATTGGCCAATGTTGTCCCTGGTAACGTTGATGAAAGTAAGGCTGTGACCTCCTTCTGACGACGGCCCTGAAACACAAAGTTCATCCATCAGACGACATCAACAAAACATACAATGAAGGTATGATCCCTCACTGATGATGTAAAACATAGTTTCATTTATTCACACATTAAATCATTACCCATTCATAGTCACACCAAGACTTTCACTATCTTCATCAGTACATCTGATGATCTTCATAATGATATCTCAATGTTTTGTACATATATATGACCCCGGCATGTAATGCGGGGGATATAGTCGACGCCTCATCCGTCCGTCCGTAATCATTCTGTTTCCGGAACATAACTCAAAAAACGTTTAATATTTTTCAATAAAAATTGGTAGATATATTAAATAGAACCTAATGTGGTGCCTTTTGCTATTTACAGATTTTTGTCATTTTTATTTTTCTTGGTTTTCATGGAAACGATTTGAACTTAGTCTCAAAAGGTAAGGGTGACCTTCGAAAACTCGAAAACTGTTCAATATCTTTCTTCAAGACTTGGTATCAAACATAAGCTAAAGTGGTGCCTTTTGCTATCTGCAGGTTTTTGTCATTTCTATTTTTCTTGGTTTCCATGGAAATGATTTGGACTTAGTCCAAAAACATCATGTTGGACTTTAAGTAACTGTCAGATGATTTCTTGCAAATTTATGGGGGCCAGGGGGATTTGTCATCTGCTGATGACTCTTGTTTAATCATGCAGATGCTGCATACCCAAAAAGCCAGGTCACACTTTATCCATTCAAGTTGATGCATTTGGTAATGTGCAAAAACAGTTTCAATATGGATATTAGTGAGTGAGTATGGTATTACTCCGCTTTCAGCAATATTCCAGCAATATCATGTCGAGGAACATCAGAAATGGGCGTCATGTGTTGTACCCATGTGGGGAATCAAACCTGGATCTTCGGCATGATGAGCAAATGCTTTAACCACTAGGCTACCCCACTGCCCCGATATGGCTACCAAAGCAGTCATGTTTAATAATAAATATAATTAGTTAATCATACAGCACCTCTCAGGTCAAAGGTGCTTTGAAGGAAAAACAGCTCTGACAAAAGGTATTCAGTTGTGTGCCGATCTGAAGAAGTACATTTTCAAGCTAGACTTCCAAGTCAGATAGTTCTTGAATGTGTCTGAAGTTGTCTGGGAGGGAATTCTGAAGTACTGGACCAGCTTTAGAGAGGGTTCGGTCACCAAAAGAGCTGGAACTGGATGTCGGTATAGACAACAAAAAGTTTGTAACGATTGGATCTGGACAACTTAAAAACAGAATGGAACCCTCCACTCAAACCAGGAATCAAACCTGGACAGATACTTAACTCAAACGAGAAACTATATCGGGAATCAAACCAAGACCTATATTAAGAATCAAACCAGGATCCATATGAGAGATCAAGCCAGGATCCATATGAGAGATCAAACCAGGACCCATATGAGAGATCAAACCAGGACCCATATGAGAGATCAAACCAGGACCCATATGAGAGATCAAACCAGGACCCATATGAGAGATCAAACCAGGACCCATATGAGAGATCAAACCAGGACCCATATGAGAGATCAAACCAGGACCCATATGAGAGATCAAGCCAGGACCCATATGAGAGATCAAACCATGAGGGCCATGAGCCAGGACCCATATGAGAGAGATCAAACCAGGACCCATATGAGAGATCAAACCAGGACCCATATGAGAGATCAAACCAGGACCCATATGAGAGATCAAAGCCAGGACCCATATGAGAGATCAAACCAGGACCCATATGAGAGATCAAACCAGGACCCATATGAGAGATCAAACCAAGAGCCATATGAGAGATCAAACCAGGACCCATATGAGAGATCAAACCAGGACCCATATGAGAGATCAAGCCAGGAATTATTCATACTGAGCCAACTTTCTAACCACTGGAACATCTCGCCAGCCAAAGACCACAGTACACATTCGGTTGAACTCAGTCTGCTCCATGAACCTTCAAGGTCAGTAATCTCTGGCAGCTCTCCTTAATCCTAAAAACATACATCTAGAAACTAATTGTCGAAAACACACAGAAGCAAATGAAAGAAGTTGATAAAAAGCTAAAACAGGTTCTCTAGTCTAGCACTGAATCAATACGACATCCAGAGGGAATGAAAAAGAAGACAGATAGGGGAGGATCAATACTGGGGGTTGGGGGCGAGACAGTCCCTGGGGAACAAACAATAATTTAAACCAGTGGGTCCGGGTCAGATTCATTGCCATACGTTGCAGTGTAATAAAGCTTACAACCCGGTAGAATGAGCTTTGTGCTTCAGAAGATTCCAATCTAAGTTTGCGACAGGAAGAAGCAATGGACTCAGAAACAACATCGGCTATTAAAGTTGCAAGATCAGACTGGATTAGTTTCGGATGCAGAAAAGATGGGATTTCCAATTGGATGAGCAAGATGAATCATTTATTGAGATGTGGACATTAAATTTTCAAGGTGTTTTAAAGGATTGGGGTATCCCTCCTTGATCAGTGAACACTGTTTGTTGTCAACGTCGCAGTCAGCAGTATTCCAGCTACATGGTGGTCTGTAATTAATCGAGTCTGGGTCAGACAATCCAGTGATCAATATCATGAACATCAATATACACAACTGGTACATGACAGCCAAATCAGCAAGCCTGACCACCCAATCCAATAAGTCTTCTCCTACAACAAACTTGAGTTGCTGAAGACCTATAGACCCATTTTTTTAACTTTTAAAAGTATGAAATTTGCTTCATATAAGGATGTGTGATATATATACAGGAACACTGATGTATTTCATGTTCACAATCAGTATTATCAGATTGTTTATTATGCTACACCTTCAGACCCCCATTAACTGGCGTGTGCCACCAGTCAAGTTGCATACACACAGAGAAATCCATCGGCTAACATTTTGAAAGACATTGAAAGTGCAGTAATCTAGATTTATCATCCAAAACTGTGTTCCACAGGACTGACTGACTGACTGAGTTTGGTTTTACGCCGCTTTTAGCAATATACCAGCAACATCACGGCAGGGGACACCAGAAATGGGCTTCACACATTGTACCCATGTGGGGATTCGAACCCGGGTCTTCGGCGTGACGAGCCAACGCTTTAACCATTAGGCTACCCCACCGCCCCTGTTCCACAGGAGATATCGCTTGTGTAAGATTTTGACAGTAGATTTTGTACAATGCCCTAACAATGCTATGACATCATGAACTTGATGATGTCACAATGCTATGACATCGCCGCACTACAAGTCTAATGGCAGAACCATGTTCAGAGATGTACATTTTTAACTGAAAACTAAAGAAGAGTGAATTATGATGATAAAGAGAATCTCACCTCGTGTCTTCTTATATCAAATATATCAACACTTGTTGATAAAAGTGAAATATCCTCAGCAACCCTCGTATATTTGTAACTTTATCAACTTGTGGTGATATATTTGATATCTAAAGACACTCGGGTGATATTCTCTATATATTACAGAAAAAAATCATTTTTTTCTTAACTTACCATAATTATAATCATATAAATGAGCCAAGCAACTCTCTCCATTTTTGAAGACCTTGAAAGTGCAGTAATCTAGATTTACTAAATATTATAGATTTACATGAGCTTACTTGGATATGTACACATTTAGAACAATGTCCTAACACCTATAATTTTAACTGCAATATAGTCATTCATATTCATATCATAATTATGTTTGTTTGTATGAATATTTTGACCCTTGTGGCAGACCATACTTTGACATTACACATGCATGTGCTACGATCAAAGGTGAGCATCATGTGCAATACGTGTACCCATCAATAAGCAAATATCAAGTTTCAGTAAACCGTTCTTACAGCTCGTTTACTTGGAAAATCAATTGATTTCATTGTCAGTAAGCAAATATGGGGCCTCCTCAAGTGACAGCTGCTTAAATATGTCAAGCTATCATCATCATTGCAAAAGATGTTGTCTGTCATCCATCGACTATCAGCTGAATGGCCAGAAAACAGCAGCAAACTGATGATGTTAAGGACCGCAAGCATTTGTGTCACCCACGAATGACAACTCCTTGGGGGAATATACTGCCCTTCTCAGAATCACATGACTTCATCCAGTCATGTCAAGCGGAATGTTAAAGATGAAGATGATCACCAAATGTTCTGAAATTGTCTAAAATCAGTCAGGTGGAGTGTCAACGACCTATCTGACCCCAGTTTTATCATCAGAGAACAAAACAGTATGACTAGCTTGGTGTCAAACTCGGATTTTGGAGAGGGGTCAACTGGTTAGGCAAAAGTAAAAGAATGTCATGACTAATGGCTGAGCTGGTGTTTGGTGTAGCAGAAACACTGCGTAATGCACAACTGAGCAAGTACGGTTTTGCCTGGGTTCAATAATGGTATGGCGGTGCCGCTCACATGACTGTAAACCATCAGACAAAATCTGAATGGACAAAGGTACATTACTGACATGCTGGACAGGGTTGTTGCACCACATTTTGATAACCATCCTCTGAACACAAGAGACCCGTGAAGGTCTGGGTTAGAATATTGGCCTTCAGTAATCCATGCTTGTCGTAAGAGCCGACTAACAGGATCGGGTGGTCAGGCTCGCTGACTTGGTTGACACATGTCATCAGTTCCCATGCTGACCGATGCTCATGCTGTTGATCACTGGAATGTCTGGTCCAGACTCGATTATTTACAGACCGCCGCCATATAGCTGGAATATTGCTGAGTGTGGCGTAAAACTCAACTCACTCACTCACTCATTGAACACAAGACTAGTCTTCATGGACAACAATGATAGGTCACATTGGTCACATGTCGTTGGTGATTTGCTACACAGGGACACAGTAGCAACTCTACCTTGTCATAGAATACATCGGCCATGAGTCCATCAGAATGGAACGTCACGCCAAATCAACGCCTGATACAGTCATATATGGGTCATTGCAAGAGGCGGACACCAGACAGATCCTCCATGGTTATTGATATTTTTAGATTTCTTGATAATGT